CTCCTGAAATGTCCATCCGTCCTTTCTCCCTATCTGTTCCTCAGATGTGAGCGGTTTTTCTTCCATCTTACACATCTCCAGGGACAGGCAACTTAAAACAAAAGTGAAACAAAATAACAAAAGAAGAATCTTAAAATGGCTACCCATCCTCTCGCCCTGCCCTCAGGGGCGAGCAGTTCACTTACCCTCAGTCGCTCCCCGTACGGGCCACCAAATGCCGCAGTCTGGCTGGGCACAATCAGGAGCCACTTGTCAAAAGAAACTAACTTTATTTTTAGAACCACACACGACAAACAAAATAGTCTCTCAGGAAAAACCCTCAGAGCCTCAACTGCCACCACCTGCTTTCCCCAAGCCTCTCTCTCCCACACAAGCTTCTCCCCACCTCCCACAATCCTCCTGCTCTTGAGGCCGATTGGCTGGGTCACGTGGGCGGAGCCAACAAAGTCCCCCAATGAGCAGCTCCGTGGTCTGAAAGGGCAGGGAAACAGTCCAATGAGCATCACCGCAGAGGAGCCAATCAGCTAGATGTTGCTGGGGCCGAGGAGCCAATCAGCTAGATGTTGCTGGGGCCGCTGTGAGCCAATCATCAGCCAGCAGCTGGAAGTTTGCTGGCAGCTGGAAGTTTGCTGGGGCCCCTTTGGCTGTGGCTCTCAACATAAGTGGCTGTTTCTTTTCCCTTGTCACTGAGTAAATATCTTAGATGAGATCCTTAGACTGTGCAGTATTCTGTTTCTCAAACTTTTACCCTCTGATTTTAGAATCTATTCATGTACTGGCAGTAATTATTGTTTTATGTTTGTTAATGGTGATTTTCTACTTTCTTTGTCTATTTTACATTTATTATTTCTTCTGTAGGGAAGAGTTGTACCTTCTATGTATTTGATTATTTGATTATATCTGTGGACATATTTAATAAATGAAATTCATATGGCAATACTTAGAAACTTCTGGAGAGGAATATTGATATTTATCTTGTCAACATTTTTTTTTGAAAGGAAGAAAATTATATTGAAATATTGTATCATTTGTTTAACTTAATGAAAACTCAACAGAGCCTGCTGTTTTCAGTTTCTTTTGTGTGTGGTAGGCACATATGCTTGGGTATAGGATGAATTACATTACTATAATAATATCACATAGGTTTTTCTATGAAGATTGCGTTTGTTTTAAAATTCCTTTTGGAATTCCTAGGATCCAAGTTGTTAGTGGCAGAGCTTCAGTAATTATCTTCTCTTAGAAAGAAATCACTGTCTTTCTGTAGTTCTTAACATCCAAGATAATTTTTTAAAAATCATTCTATCAAACCCCTTTATTTTGAATTTAAAAAGGCACTTAATATGTATTTTGATAAGCCATATATCAGCACTTACTAGCTTTAATAAGTAGTTTTGTTAGTAAAAACTTAAAACTTGAAAACTATTACGTATAATTTGTGGTCAGACCATGTGTCCTGTTGTTTTTTGTGGGAAAGTGTTCTTTTTTAATTTTTCGAAACATAAAATAATAATTACTCATATATTAAGATTGCTCATTTTTCCCCCATCTACCTGTCCTTTTGTTTAACTTTTTAGCCTGTTTTTGTATCCTTCTCAAATTGAATTGGTTGACATTCTGTGCTATCTCTAAGTGTACATTAATTGTGTTTTAATATAATTATATTGTGTGATTACAACTCAGTAACTTGATTTATCACTGTTTTAACTCAGATATACCAAAGAAAAGTATTTCCTCACAGTGAACTAGTCAGTTTAACTGCCATTAGCACTTTAATACAGCATCATTTTCAGGCCTTTTTTATGTATATACAGTCAGCCCTCCAGAGCCTTGGATTTTTTCACCTGAGGATTTAACCAATCACAGATCAAATGTGTTCACAAAAAGAAAACTCTCTGTTCTAACCATGTACAGACTTTGTCTTATTGTTATTCCATAAACATCACAGTATCACAAATTTTATAGCATTTACAGTGTATTAGAGATGATAAATAATCTAGTGATGATTTAACATGTACAGGAAGGGCTGGGGCTGGGGCTATAGCTCAGTGGTATAGCACTTGTCTAGCATATGTGAGGCACTGGGTTTGATCTTTAGTACCACATAAAAGTAAACAAATAAAGACATGCTGTCCACCTACAATTACAAAAATAAATAAATAAATAAACAAATAACCATATAGGGGGGCTGGGGTTGTAACTCAGTGGTAGAGCACTTGCGTCACGTGTGTGAGGCACTGGGTAGTACAATCCTCAGCACCACGTAAAAATAAATAAATAAAATGAAGATTGTTTTTCATCTACAACTAAAAAAAAATCTTTTAAAAAAAAGTGTATAGGAAGATGTGCATAGATTCTATGCAGATACTCTACATCATTTCCTGTTAAGTGACTTGAATATTTACAGGTTTCAATATCTGTAAGGGGTCCTAGAACCAGTCTCCCATAGATACCAAGAGAGGATTGTATGCCTATGTTTTAAGTATTATGTATTCTGTTCTGTGTAATTTGTTTTTTAAATGGATCCAGCCAGAAAAGTTATTATATACATATTTGAGCAAAAATTATATGTGGCTTTCAAAGTTTAGTAAAATCTGTTTGTAAGGAAAGGGCTTTCCATTGTATTGTATTGAATTTAGTAAGGGAAAAAAGAAATAAATTGTGGAAAGGAGCATGGTCTTTTTTTTTTTTTTTTTTTCCTTTGGTGTTATTGTCATTTCCTTTTGTTTTGAGAACTGGGAATTGAACTCAGGGACATTCAACCACATCCCCAGTCCTATTTTGTATTTTACTTAAAGACAGGGTCTCACTGAGTTGCTTAGTGCCTCGTTGTTCCTTGCTCAGGCTGGCTTTAACTTTTGTTCTTCCTGCTTTAGCCTCCTGAGCCCCTGAGATTATAGGCCTCCACTACTGCACCCAGCTTTGTTTTGTTTTTGAGACAAAGTCTGTGTTTCCCAGTCTATTCCTGAACTCCTGGATTCAAGTGATCCTCTTGCCTCAGTCTCTTGAGTAGCTTCAATTAAATTATTAAATTATTAGCCACCTCACTCTGAAGGGGTAACCATATGTTAATACTACCATAAATTAAGTTTTGCATGTAATTAGTTATGTTCTAGGTGACTCTGTTGATATATTTTTTTAAATGCCACATTATAGCTCATTAATAATCAACTTGTATAGAAAATTCTTTTTATATTTAGGCAACCAACAAAGTAAGTTAGCACACATGGAAATTATTAACATTTGGATGACTGGAGTGTTTTTTCAGTAACCTTAGGTTTTTGGAGAGAAAAAGAAGTATCTTTCAATTTTTCTCCATGACTAGAGGCTAAAGGATAGTTCTAAATCTATGCACAAATCATCTCACTGTAGCAAAAGTTAAGCAATTTTTGGAAATGATCTACTAACCTCTCCACAGCCTCTTACCCCCGTAATTTTAACTTTTTAATATGTCTTGGTTTTTCTTTTCTCATGTGGTTTATTAATATAGTAGCATTTGTCTACCCTTGTGCAATTTTTAGATGCTGGGGAAATGTGTCTAAAACATGATTTCTGTTTTTTCAGAGCTAACAATATATAGGGAGTAACAAGTACAGATAAATAATAATAAAATGAGTACAGATAAAGTGCTGTGGAAACTCCAGTGATTCCTTTATTGTTCCTAGGGTGGGATAGAGGCAGTTTCTTAGCAAATAAAAATTTGAATTCACTGGATAAATTGGGTAGCCTTTGCTTGTGAAGAGAATAGCATATAAAATAGGGTAAACTAGAAAACACCCTGAGAAATACACTTCTTTGAAAGGTAAAGTTTGGAAGTAAGACTGAAACATTAACATGAACTTTTGCTTACCAGAAGATGGTATTTAGTCAAGGTTTTTTTTTCTTCAGCTGCTAGAATCATGGTAAAATTTTTAGTATTAGAATAACAAGGTCACATTTTTTGTGGTAGAAAACTTTCACAATAGTGGAGAATGATCTGAATGAAGGGAGCAAAATTGGAGTCAGGAAGATAAGATTAGACAAGTTAAACACCTGAAATGTAGAAACAGTGAAGCTGGAAAGAAGAGATTGAATTTAAGAGCTATTAGAAAGTAGAATTCTCTTGAAAGTGAAGAGAGTAAGACAAGGAATAGTCCATTCTGATACCATTGTCTATGATGAAGGTTCAGAGGCTAAGAGAGTGATAATCACTTAGTGAAATTCTGTATGACTGCAATAAACAAGAATAATTACAGAGGTTTCTTAATAGAATTTATTAATAGAATTTATCTTAAAAATATTTTTTAGTTGTAGATGGACACAGTACCTTTATTTATTTATCTTTGTGTGTTGCTGAGGATCAAACCTAGGTCGCCACACATGCTAGGCGAGTGCTCTACCACTGAGCCACAACCCCAGCCCCTTTTAATAGAACTTTATATCAAGCAAAATATTAGATAATGTTGATTTTTATGTGTATGTAATCTCTTTTTGTAAAAAGAACAAGATAGAAGAGGATATTAAAGATAAGTATTTAACCAAGTTGGGATTATCCAAGTAGGGCATTTAAATTTACATTGAAAGATAAGGAGGAAAATTCTCTTTTGTACTTCTTGAACTTAAACATTAGCTTGAGCATTAGTTTGGCTTTATCTTAATGAATGTACCTAATGTTTGAATTCAGATTTTTTTTTCTCATTATTAATCCAAGAAGTATAACTAATCTGCTTCGGGGGGTGGGAGGATATGTGTGTAGTTCAGTGTAGAAAGTGCTTTTAAGTGCCTTAGTGACAAGAATAATTTGAAGAGAACATTTGAAGTAGTCTACAGTGTAGAAATCCTGCTGAGGAATGAAAAGGTCGAAACTTAGTTTTAAAGTTTAGGTTATTCTTTATCATACATGTTGAAACGCTATTTAACTAAACTTAAATATTGAGAATATTAAAACTAGAGTTTTTTCATAGTAAAAATCATGAGGAATTTATTAAATTTAATTTCAGTGCTTTTTTTTCTCCTTCCTTTAGAACGTATAATGAAGAAAACAGAAGAGTCTGAATCACAAGTAGAACCTGAAATTAAGAGAAAAGTCCAACAGAAACGTCACTGTAGTACATACCAGTCTACTTCTCTGTCTCCTGCTTCAAAAAAATGTTTAACCCATTTAGAGGTCGGTAGAGAAATGATTCTTTGTTATGAGTCAGATGGTATTTTTTTATTAATATTATTTTTAGTGCTCATTAAATTCTAGGTGATCTTTTATCACAGGACCAAAGAGACTAGCAAAGTTATTTTAGCAAATCTTTTTGTCTTCAATAGATAATTTTTTTCCCTGTTCAAAATAATAGAATATTCTTTCCTCAAATGAATTTATCAGTAAAATATTATAAATAATTGTTCTCAGGGAAACATTTTTTTCAATTATTTTAAAATTATAGAAAAATTGGTTGCAAAAATTAATGGGAAGGGTTTCTACATATTCATTTCCCAGTTTGCCACATTTGTTTGTTGTCCTCCTTCCCTGTGTCCTCCTCCATCCTTCTTTCTCCCATATTCATTTATTTGTTTATAGATATATACACGTATACACATATTGTTTGAGTATAACATAGGCATAATGCCCATTTACTACTTAATACTTTAGAGTGTGTTTTCTCTTTTTTTTTCCCTAAAGGATATGTGAGACATTCTCTATAATCAGTGTATAACTTGCAAAATTAAAAAATGCAAAATTACCATCTGTTCCCTAGATCCCATTTATATTTCATCTAAATAATGTCCTTTTTAGGTATAAGATCTAATTCAAAATAATATGTTATTCTTTCGATCTGAAATCATTCTTGTCCTTTATAACCTTGATGTTTGTGAGGAGTATAGGCCACTTACTTTATACTTGAAAGTGGATTAACCTGATGTTTCTTCATAATTTGTGTGTTTTCTTTTATGATGTGAATAATGTACACAAAAAAAACCCTCACTATAATCATTGCATAGCATATCAGGAGACTCATGATGTTCATCATTGTTCACATCAATGATAATATTAACTTTTACCTTAGTTAAGATTTTTCTTATTTATTTATATAGGCATAGATATATGTCATTCTTCTCTTACTTTAAAGTTATAGTGTTTAACTGTTGTTATTTATTTTTATGCTTAAATTGTTCCAGATTTGGTCCATGTTGTCTCTTCAAGCTGATGATTGTCTTTTTGACATAAACCCATCATTCTTTGAGCACTTCTTACTTTTTGGTATAGCAGGATGATCTGAGCCACCTTGTTTTTCTCTCTCAGTCTTAGAGTCATGCATTTTCCCAAGGAGCCTTTTTTCTTTTAAGTAGGGGGAAGCTATTGGTATACAAGTTAATGCTCATTGATATTGAGTGTAAGTTTGTAGGCCCTTTCAGTAGACAAAGCTTGGAAATATATGTTGATGTACATATTAATATTTAATAACAATATTTAGTAAACAATAAAATCCATGAGTTCACATTGGTAACCAAATCTTGGTTTAGCTGTTCCTATTTTACGTAATAATAACTTTCTTTGACAGTGAGAAACCTGAGTCCCATCCCTAATGTATTTACTTATTTGTTCACTTTGCTTTATGTCTGTCCCAGTCTTCCTGGCTTGCAGCCTAGGCTTGTCTCAGGCCCTGCTGGCTTAGCCATTGCTTAGCCCAGGTAAAGGAGAAAAGCGCCTCAAAACGACATCCTTCCTCTGGTGAACAATCTAGCCGAAACCTTAAAATCTGTTTTAATTTTTAAAATAAATCTTCCTTCTTTTACTATTACTTCATTGCCAATTTTTCTTATTTTCTTAGTGTAGATTAAGAGTTATAGCCAGTCTCTATGTAATCTTTAAATTTGTAAGAAGGTTGGAGGCTTTTCTTTTTTGTTTATAATATACGAAACTTCATACTATGTGTTGTTTATAAGAAAATAGGATCTATGTATTGAATGGAATTAAACATCTTTAGGGTATGTAATGAAATGACATTGTCTCAGTGATGTCTCATCAGAGAAAGAAAGGCTCATTCTTATTAAGTACACTTTTTTTATAGAGACTTGCTGATAGTATGTGATGTGTAATTTATAAGTTTTTGTTTTGTTTTGTTGTGGTTGGTGGTAGGGATCAAATTCAGGGCCTCAAGTATGCTAGTCAAGTGCTCCCAGCCCATTAATTTGAAATTACTTGGTTTCATAAAAGTTTTTCACTGACCAAAAGGAAGGAAATGAGATTCTAATAAAAAAATTAAGGTTTTTTTAAAAAAAGAAATCAACGTAGTTTTTATGAAAATTTAATACTTTTTCCTGAAGTTAATTAAGTGGCACTGAGTCTCTAGGTTTTAGATCAGTTGGTTGATAAAATTATTAATCTACAATTTTTAGCTTGAAAAATTTAGTATCTAATACAGTTGAGATTATTTGCATTTTGTTCCTAATTACTGCAAAGAGTTCCAAGATAACATATTTTTTAACAGATGAAAGTGTGTGGTAAACCAGGCACTGTGGCACATACCTGTAATCCCAGTGGCTCCGGAGGTTAGGGCAGGAGGATAGTGAATTCAAAAGTCAGTTTCAGCAACTTAGTAAGGCCTTAAGCAACGCAGTGAGACCCTAACTCTAACTAAAATATAAAATAGGGCTGGGAATGTAGCTCAGTGGTTAAGCGCCCCTCCCAAAAGTGTATGCTATAGGATATATTTCCTTCTATATCTTAGTTCTGAGTGTTTTAATAGGGATGTGCTTTTCTACATCAATGAGCTACATCCCTAACCCCCTCAGTTTTTTTTTTTTTTTTTTGGTGCTGGAGATTGAACCCACGACCTTGTGCATTCTAGGCAAGCACTCTACCAACTGAGCTATATCTCTAGTACCACCCCCCACTCCCTGCCCCATTATTAACTGCAAAATTAGCTTATACATAGCTGACTACTGGATTGGTCTTGAAATTCTTTACAGCATTTTGATGCTAAATCTCAAGTAATGTGCCTTATTTGGGACCTCATAGTAGTCATGGTAGTGATGGGGGAGGGAAGGACTTAATTTTGAAACGTTGAGGGTGTTCCTTGATGTTGAAGTAAAACCACATTTTTTCTTTCTTTCATTGTTTTGGAACCTAAGGTTTCTGAACAGCGTGAATGTTGCCCAAAATGTGGAAAAGAGAAAGAAAATCAGTCCAAATGCCAAAGTTGTGGTATTAGTTTTCGTAATGATTTACAAAGAAACTGCAGACAAGCTATAACTTTAAATGAACCTACTGGACCATTATTAAGAACGTCAATACATCAGAATTCTGGAGGACAGAAGTCACAAAACATAGGATTAACAACCAAGAAGTTTTATGGTAACAGTGTGGAAAAAGTTCCAATTGATATTATTGTGAATTGTGATGATAGTAGAAATAATTATTTACAGACTAATGGAAAAGTCATTTTACCTGGGACAAAAATACCCAAAATCACAAACTTGAAAGAAAGAAAAACAAGCCTGTCAGACCTAAATGACCCAAGTAAGTATTCACTCCCTCTTCCCCGCTTTTTTGATTCAAACTCCTAGGTTCAATGGTTCTCTTATACCTCAGCCTCCTTAGTAACTAGTATTATCGGCATACACTATCACACCTAACATAATTTTACTCTTTTCAATATTGCTATATCTATCTAATACTTTCTATATTTTGTTTTAAATTTGTGAGCATGTTTCAGAAGTATAGTCTTAGTGTATCTTTGTGCCAGTTATGTAATATTTTGGGGGGTTAAAAATGTGTCCTCACAGGGCTGGGGTTGTGGCTTAGTGGTAGAGTGCTTGCCTAGCATGTTTGAGGCACTGGGTTCAATTCTCAGCACCTCATATAAATAAATAAGGTAAAGGTCTATTGACAACTAAAAGAAAAAAAATTTTAAATGTCCTCACAATTGTGAAAATAACTGACTTTGTTCATCCTATCCATTTTCTATTATTATTTTTTAATTCATTCTAATTATTTATACATGACAGTAGAATGCATTTTGACCATTGTACACAAAGGGATCACAATTTCTCATTCCTCTGGCTGTACATGGTGCAGAGTCACACCAGTAATATAGTCATACATGTATATAGGGTAATAATGTCTATCTCATTTCATAGTCCTTCCCACCCCCATACCCCTTTCCCTCTCCTCATTCCCCTCGGCCCAGTCCAAAGTCCTTTGCCCTTCTCCCCCAACTCCCCACCATTATGGATCAGCATCCAATTATCAGAGAAAACATTTGGTCTTTGGTTTTTGGGGTTTGGCTTATTTCACTTAGCATGATATTCTCTAGCTCCATCCATTTACCTGCAAATGCCATAATTTTATTCTTTTTTAAGGTTGAGTAATATTCCATTGTGTATATATACCACAGCTTTTTAAAAAAATATTTTTTAGTTGTAGATGGACAAAATACTTATTTATTTTTATGTGGTGCTGAGGATCAAACCAAGTGTCTCACATGTACGGGGCAAGTCTTCTGCCATTGAGCTACAGCCCCAGCTCCATACCACAACTTCTTTATCCCTTCATCTGTTGAAGTGCATCCAAGTTGGTTCCATAGTTTAGCTATTGTGAATTGAGCTACTGTAAACATTGATATGGCTGCATCACTTTGGGTATAAACTGAGGTGTCCTTTGGGTATAAACTGAGGAGTGGGTTAGCTGGGTCAAATGGTGGTTCCATTCCAAGTTTTTTAAGGAATCTCCATGCTGCTTTCCATAGTGGTTGCACCAATTTACAGTCCCACCAGCAATGTATGAGTGTACCTTATTCCCCACATCTTTGCCAAGCCAACACTTGTTGCTTATATTCTTGATAATTGCCATTCTGACTGGAGTGAGATGAAATCTTAGAGTAATTTTGATTTGCATTTCTCTAATTGCTAGAGATGATGAACATTTTTTCATATGTTTGTTGATCAGTTGTATTTCTTCTGTGAAGTGTCTGTTCAGTTCCTTAGTCCATTTATTCATTGGGTTATTTGGTTTTTTTTTTGTTGTTTTTTTGTTTGTTTTGGTGTTTTAAGTCTGAGTTCTTTATATGCCTGGAGATTAATGCTTTATCGGAGGTGCATGTACTAGAGATTTTCTCCCATTCTGTAGGCTCTCTCTCCATGTTATTGATTGTTTTCTGTGGCTGAGAAGAAGCTCTTTAGTTTGAATTCATCCTATTTATTGATTCATGATTTTACTTCTTGTGCATTAGGAGTCTTGTTAAAAAAGTCAGGTCCTAAGTCAGCCAACATGATGAATATTTGGGCTTACTTTTTCTTCTGTTAGGCACAAGGTCTCTGTTCCAGTCTTTGATCCACTTTGAGTTGATTTTTGTGCAGGGTGAGAGACAGAGGTTTAATTTCATTTTGCTACGTAGGGATTTCCTGTTTTCCTAGCTCCATTTGTTGACTAGGCTGTCTTTTCCCAAATGTATGTTTTTGGCATCTTTGGGGAGATCACGTGTCCAGTGTGAGATAAATGTATTTATGTGGGTTTGTCCCTCTGTGTTCTATTTTGTACCATTGGTCTATATGTCTATTTTGGTGCCATTCCCATGATGTTTTTGTTATGATAGCTCTGCAGTATAGTTTAAGGTCTGGTATTGTGATACCTCCTGCTTCATTCTTCTTGCTAAGGATTGCTTGGCTATTCTGGGTCTCTTATTTTCCAAATGAATTTTATGATTACCTTTTTTAGTTCTATGAAGAATGTCATTGGGATTTTATAATAAGAATTGCATTAAATCTGTACAATACTTTTTGGTAATATGACCATTTTGATAATATTAATTCTGCCTACCCAAGAGCATGTCATCCCATCCATCTTAAGTACTAGAGAGCACAGGCTTGACCCCAGTTGTAGATCAAGTGCTATTTATGCCCAGTTTTCTGACTTGGATCAAGTGTTCCCACTGATAATGGGCTGTTTGGGGTTTGTTTGTATTTTGGTACAGGGGATTAAACCCAGGGCACATTACTGCTAAACTACATCACCAGTTCTTTTTATTTTGAAACTGGGTTTCACTAAGTTGCTGAGGTTGGCCTCAAACTTGCAGTCCTCCTACCATAGCCTACTCAATGGTTGGGATTACAAACATGTGCCATTGCACCTTGCCCACTGATGGTGGTTTTAAGGGAATAAATACCATGTAAATGTCACATAAGCATAGCTCAATAAAATATTTGACAAACAGGACTCAATAAAAAATGTCCCTCCCTTAAAAGTTTATCCTGTCTTTGGACATGTGCATGCATTTTTATTTTGTAAAAAATAATAGCAAAAATTGAAAACAATGAGACTGGTAGAAATTATAGACTATGTAGCTGTAGAGACAGAAGGGGAGATCACATGTAAAGTGTAATTTTCCAAGATCTTTAAGTGAATAAAGCAAGGTGCAAACAAGATTGTATGGTGCGGTGATGAATAGTTTTTACATAGATTAACAAAATTAATAGAATAGTTTTTACATAGATTAACAAAATTAATAAAAAAAAAATTTGTTGAATGAGAGGAAACAGACACTGGAGATGGATGTTAGATTTCTCCAAATAGAAATTGTTTTGTTGACTTTACTTAGGAACCATGTAAATATTTTACATAATTATAAAATGAAATTACATATAAATTTTTTTTTGTAAAGCATAATTTAAGAAATGAATTTAATTGTATTTTGGTAGCTTGAACATATTGTTTCAGATGAGTTTAAATTAAAATAATATGGTGTGTATATCCACTGATTTTAAGGTTAAGCAGAATTTCACAGAAATCCTAAGTCTATTCAGTAATATTGTTATTAACAACATTGGTATTGGGGCTGGGATTGTAGCTCAGTGGTAGAGCGCTTGCCTTGCACTTGTGAGGTCCTGGGTTCAGTTCTCAGCACCACATAAAAATACATAAATAAAAATGATGATATTGTGTCCACCTACAACTAAAAAAAATTAAAAATAAAAAACAATATTGGTGTTGTTTTTTATAAACACATGTATATGAATAAAAGAAATAATTATATTATTGTTTCAGTGTTAGAAAAAAAGAAGTATTAAAGTAAAATCAAGGAATCCAAAGTCCTAAAACTTTACATTTGAATTGGAGATAATGTGAATTTATTATATATTTTATTTTAAACATAAAATACATGTATCCTAACTTTACCTTTAGAAAGTACTTATGGTACACACCTGTAATCCCAGCAGCTTGGAAGGCTGAGGCAGGAGGATTGCAAGTTCAAAGGCGGCTTCAGCAACTTAGCAAGGCCCTCAGCAATTTAGTAAGAACCTGTCTCTAAATAAAGTATAAAAAGGGACTGGGGGTGTGGCTTAGTGGTTGAGTGTCCCTGGATTCAATCACTGGTACCAAAAACAATATAGAAAAGGCTTAGAAATGGTAAACATCCCTGGTATAGAAACAAACATGCCTTAAAAAAAAGAAAAAGAAAGAATGAACAATATTTTTAGGCACCATTTCCTACTAAAAATAACCAGAGTTGCTCAGAGAAATGACTTTATTCCAGGTTAACAGTACAAAATATGAGATAAACCTAGATTATCAGTCAGATGAGGAAGCGTGAAAGTGGTCAAAACTACTACAAAAGAACTAAAATGAAAGGACTCCCAAAGTAATGGAAGTACTTAGGTCACAAAGAGTCATTACTACTAGTCATTGAAATATTTGAATATATTAAAATCAATTAGTTTGTTATAATACTCCCCTTCTCTTGAAAGAAAATTTCTCCATTAGTTATCTTTCTAAGGGTCCCAAAGTGGTATTCTGAAAACTGGTAAATAAATGGAGAAATTAAGAATTTTTTTCTGTACCCCAGGAATACAAATCAAGTTTCATTTATCCCTAGCTGGGCAATGTAGGTGTAAGCCTGTAGTCCCAGATACTTAGGAGGCTGAGATAGAATGATAGAAAATTCTAGGCCAGCTTGGACAACCTAGGGAGTTCCTGTATCAAAATAAAATAAATGTTCAACATCTCTAGCAATTAGAGAAATGCAAATTAAAACTATACTGAGGTTTCATTTCACTCCAATCAGAATGGCAATTATCAAGAATACAAATAACAGTGTGGGCAAGATGTGGGGAAAAGGATACACTTATACTTTGTTGGTGGAACTGCAAATTGGTGCAACCACTCTGGAAGGCAGTATGGAGATTCCACAGAGAAAATAGGATTGGAACCACCATTTGAACCAGTTTCCCACTCTTCAGTATATATCCCAAAGATTTAAAATCAGCTTACTGTAGTGATCCAGCCATATCGATGTTTAGAGCAGCACAATTTATAATAGCCAAGGTATAAAGCCACCTTTCAACAGATGAGTGAATAAAGAAAATGTGATATTTGTACACAATAGAGTGTTACTCAGCTGTAAAGAAGAATGACTTTATGACATTTGCTGGTAAATGAATGGGTCTAGAGACTATCATGCTAAGTGAAATCAGCCAATCCCAAAAAACCAAAGGTCCAGTGTTCTCATATGTGGAGGCTAATCCACAATTAGCGGGGGAGAGAGAAGTTCAGTGAAGTAGACAGGAATAACAGGAAGAGAGGAAATGGGAAAAGGAAAGACAGAGGAATGAATATGACAAACTTTCCTATATACATATATAAATTTCAATGTTGTGTACATACACAAGAAATTAATTAAAAAATAATAATTATGAGTAAATGGCAGAAAGAGGGTGGAGAGAAGGAAGGGGAAGGAGAGGTACTGGGGTCTGAATTTGTGCTTGTATAATTATGTCAAAATGGATTCTACCGTCATGTACAACTAAAAATAACCAAGAAAAAAGAATTAAAAAGGGCAGGGGATGTAGCTCAGTGGTAGATTGCTTGTCTAGCATGTATGACTCCCTGGGTTCAGTCCCTAATACCAAAATAATGAAACAAAACCAAAAATATCCTCAACCCATATTAGTACATTAGTGTGAAGAGGAGGGAGGGTGTTATTTTTTGGTAAGTCACAGAATAGGCGTCTTTGATAGGTAACTTCTAGCTCAGGATGAAATGAGCAGAAAGTTGGGGGGAGGTGTGAAGAAGTTTAGAATATAAGCACAGAGAACCCTTTATTAGACTGCTCAGGCTGCCATAAAGAATACCCAGAGTAGGTGTCTTAAAAGAAATTTGTTTTCTCACAGTTGTGGAGACTAAAGTCCAAGATCAAGGGTTGTATTGTAGGTTTAAAGAACTGCCCTTATGTGAACTTATAATATAAATTATGAATTTTCTTTATGATTTTAGTCATTTTGTCCAGTGATGATGATGATGACAATGACAAGAATAACAGAAGAGAGAGCATATCTCCTCAACCTGCTGACTCAGCATGTTCTTCCCCTGTACCATCCACTGGAAAAGTAGAAGCAGCACTAAATGAAAATATCTGCAGAGCAGAGCATGAACTAAGAAGCATTCCAACAGAATCAGAATTGAATACAGTTACATTGCCAAGAAAAGCAAGAATGAAAGATCAGGTACTTTTCACACTTGTTGGTTGACATTTATTTGTTCAGATTAACATTTTCCTGCTAGGATGTAAATATTTTCTTGGAGGGCAATTTGACAGTTCAGTAGGAGAAAAAAATTGATTATTTAGTAATCGAGACTTTAATGCTGCTTGGAAAGTCATTTCAGAAGACATTAAACAGTGTAAAGATAAGATTCATTTAAACTAAAGGCTCAAGTATAAAAATTCAGCAAGAAAAGAAGTGTTGACTTTACAGCGATATGTCTAAATATAGGTTGAGTGTCTCTCTCTTTTTTTTAATATTCATTTTTTAGTTTTAGGTTGACACAATATCTTTATTTTATTTTTATGTGGTGCTGAAAATTGAACCCAGCGTCTCACTCATGCCAGGCGAGCAAGTGCACTACCACTTGAGCCTCATCCCCAGCGCCTTAGGTTGAATGTCTCTTATCAGAAGTATTTGGAACCATAAGTGTTTCACATTGCAAGTATTTTTGTATTTTGGAGTTTTTGCATGTATATAATGAGGTATCTTGGGGATGGACCCAAGTCTGAACAGGAAATTCTTTTATGTTGTATACATGCATTGTGCAGAGAACTTCCTAAATAATTTTACATAATGTGCCCATGCTTTCACTAAATCCATCACTTGAGGTCAGGTGTGTGGAATCTTCCAGTTGTAGCATGACGTTTGCATTCAAAAAGTTTCCAATTTTGGATCGTTTCTAATTTTAGATTAGAGGTACTGAACTTGTATAAGGAGATTTCTTGTAAAATCTAGAAGACAGGGAAAAGTTATTTTAACTTATTTGCATTTTACTATAATGTAATTATATTTACTTTCTACTGTAGGAAAAATTTCAAAATGTTCCCATGGAAAAGTAACAAATTTATAAATAAAAGATACACAGAGAAATATTTGAAATGCAGATGACATAAAACTTTAATGCCTATAATAGACTTTTTTTTTTTTAAGTTAGTGGATAGAAAGAAAATAAAGGCTAGGAATAGCAAAGAGAATATTCAGACACTACACCACCACATGAAAAGTATAAATTTAGTAAGGAAGTATAAATTAAAGAAAATGAAATATTGTAACTATATACTAAACAGACTAGTAAAATTAATTGCAAATCAATTCAAAATGATATGTACTGCAGGCGAAAATTCAAGGGAAAACATACGTTACTAATTTGCTTATAGTAAAGAAAGTTACAGTGTCCTTTGGGGAAAGCAAAGTAAAAGCATACTAAAAAAATCTTAACCATATACTTTTTTTAAAAAAATATATTTTTAGTTGTAGATGGACACAATACCTTCATTTTATTTATTTATTTATTTTCATGTGGTGCTGAGGATTGAACCCAGTGCCTCACGCGTTCTAGGCAAGCACTCTACCACTGAGCCACAACCCCAGTCCCTTAAGCATACACTTTCAACCAAATAACTAAATCCCTAGAATCCTTCTTAAAGGAATTCCTGCCCCCTCTCCAGTTTGTAAGGCTATATGTACAAGCATGATTAATGTATTAACAAACAACTGCAAACAAAATCATTGTCCATTAATATGGATATGAATGAAGAAGTTATGGTATAACTGTTTGAAGCAGCCATTGAGAGTAAAAGTTAAAACTCTATCAATAACTTTTAGAATTTCTACACAGTACTGTTGAATAGGAATATCCCCCCCAAAAAGAACATTTGTTATAAAATAAAATCTTATATGTTAAAAAATGACATATTTGCATAGATATGTCAGGGTTCAGAGGAAAATACTTGGACTTGGTTCAGATGGGAACCTGAAACCCTGTGCAGTGGCACATGCCTATAATCCCAGCTACTGGGGAAGCTAAGGCAAGAGCATCTTGAGTTTGAGGCTCGCCTGGGCAACTTAATAAAACCCTGTCTCAAAATGAAATTTTGAAATGGGCTGGTGATATATCTCAGTGGTAGAGCAGCCCTTTTTAAAATTTCATTATGAGATAGGGTTTTATTAAGTAGCCCAGGCTGGCCTCAAACTTAAGTTTTATTAAGTTCCCCAGTACCACCAAAAAGGAAAAAAGGCTACAGGCTGAAGAAATGAAAAAACTACTGAAAGGATATATTTTTATATAATCTTAGGAAATGCCTTTCCAAACATGAGATAAAATTTCTTCAATTAATTGAAAACCAAACATAGTGTTCCAAAATACCATAAATAGAATTGGATAGGTAAATGCACATGAGGATATAGGGAATTATTTGACAAAGTGTAAATTGATCTTTTATGTGTTAATTTTTTTTTTTTTTTTTTTTAAAGAGAGAGGTGAGAGAGAGATAGAGAGAGAATTTTTTGATATTTATTTTTTAGTTTTCAGCAGACACAACATCTTTGTTTGTATGTGGTGCTGAGGATCGAACCCGGGCCGCACGCATGCCAGGCGAGTGTGCTACCGCTTGAGCCACATCCCCAGCCCCGTGTGTTAATTTTTTAAAAGCCAAAAAATAGAAACAAATCATTGAAAAGTGAATAAAAGAAATGAATGAATTTCAATCAAGGTAGTAATCAAAGTAGAGAATATGAAATTAAAATAACCTTTTGTTAACTATCCAGATTGCTGAAAATTTTAGAAGTATGACAGGGTCTCATCTTGGTTAGTGTTTGAAGATGTGAGATGTTGGGTTTGTAGATGGTTATAACTTTGCTGGAGGGCAATTTGGCAATAATTCTAAATATGTGTATGTAGTGAGCTGTAGAAATGCTCATTGGAGATAGAAGTCAGATGTTCAACATAGAAGCAGTTCAGTTAAATAAATGATGGATTTCCATATGGTAGAATTTTTAGTTGAATAGTTTTCAGACTGGTGCATTGAACCATGCATAAGTGTTCTCCAGTGCTCTTCTTAAGAAGAAGAGATAGATACTCTGTGGAAGCAAATGGAACACTCAGATTCTAGATATAATGACTTTACTATGGGATTCAGCTGGAACAGCTCTTAAATTATCTGCTTTATTTATTTCTTTCATTTGAAAAAATTATACTAAAACTAAGAGAACTGTCAAACCTGTCTAATGGGTTTCCATTAATAATTTGGCAAAATATTCTTGATAAATAGTTGGTAAACCTTGTGATAAACTCTTAGTAAACCTGAAAAATCAGTTTACAAAATCATAGAGATATATATGATAATCACATTTGGTTTTGTTCCTTTTTTATTTATTTTTTAGCACATGTAAGACTTACTAATGGAGTACCATGTGATGTTTTAGTACATATGAACATTGTATAGTTTTTAAATTAGGTTAAACATGTCTATGTCTTATCTCCTAAAACATCTTTTTCTTTATGGTGAGAACCTTGGAAATTCTTTATTCTAGGTTTTGGAAATGCATCTAGGTTGTGTTATCATTTGTAGTCATCCCACTATGCAGTAGCACACCAGAACTGTTTTTACTCCTAACCATATCTTAGAACCCACTGACTAACCTTTCCCAATAATACTCTTCCTAGCCTCTGGTAACTATTATTCACTATAATTTTCTATGAAATCAGCTTTCTGTGTGCCAGATATGAGTAAGATTCAGTGGTTTTTTTTGTGCCTGTCCTATTTCATAAACAGCCCTGCATGATGGGAAATGCCTCATAATCCCAGTGGCTTATGAGGCAGACACAGAAGGATCACAAGTTCAAAGCCAGCCTCAGCAATTTAGTGAGGCATTCTTCAACTTAGGTTCTCAGCAACTTAGTGAGATCCTGTCTCAAAAAATTAAAAGGGCTAAGGATATGGCTCAGTGGTTAAGTGCCCCAAGTTCAGTCAACAAAGTAAACAACCATAACAACATAATGATTTCCAGATTTCCAGATCTATCCACATTGTAGCAAATGACATAATTTTTTTCTTTTTTTCTGGCTGAATAATATGTCATTGTGTATGTGTACCATGTTTATCCATTTATCAGTTGATGAACAGTTAATGTGTTTGTATTTCTTGGCTGCTGTGAATAGTACTATAACAAATAAAATGGTGCAGATGTCTCTTCAACATGCTAATTTCATTTTCTTTGAATAGATATTAGTGAGTGGGTTTTCTGTATTATATGTAGTTTATTTTCAGTTTTTCAAGGAATCTCTGTTCTGGTTCCATAATGGCTATGCAGATTTACATTTCCACCAACAGTCTACAGTTTCCCTTTTTCCATATCCCTGTTCTCACAATCTTTTAAGTCTTTTTGATGATAGCTGTTCTTACTGGAATAAGATGATATCTCATTACGATTTTGATTTTTATTTCCCTGATAACTAAGGATAATGAGCATTTTTTAATATAAATAAACCTGTTGGCATTTTGCATGTCATCTTTGAAAAATTTCTGTTCAGGTCTATTGCCCAGTTTTCAATTGGAATATTTGGGTTTTGTGTATTTATTTTTGTTTTTGTTGTTGAGCTATTTGAATTCCTTATAGATTCTGGATATTGACCCCTTATTGATATATAGCTTGCAGGTACTTTCTTCTGTTATTTAGGTTACTCTTTGCTCTGTTAATAGGTTTATTTATTTTTTATTTTTATTTTTTGCTGTGCAGAATTTTTTTAGTGTGAAAGCCCATTTATTTGGTTTGGCTTCTATTGCCTGTGCTTTTGGGGTTTGTCCAAAAAAATTCTTACCCATTCCAGTATCCTGAAGCATTTTTCTTTTTCTTTCTTTCTTTCTTTTTTTTTTTTTTGCTAGTTTTATAGTTTAAGGTCTTAAATTTTGATTGTGAATACATTTTGAGCTAATTCTTGTATATGACTTAGACATAGGGGTTTAGTTTCATTCTTCTGCTGTTACCATTTATTGAAGAGACTATCTTTTTTTCAGGGTGTGTTTTTAGCCCTTCTGTCAAAAATTGGCTGGGCATGTTGGTGCATATCTGTAAACCCAGCAGCTTGGGAAGCTGAGGCAGGATGATCATGAGTTCAAAGCAAACTTCAGCAACTTAGCAAGGCCCTAAGTAACTCATTGAAACCCTGTCTTTTCTTTAAAGGTCTGGGGATATGCCCCTGGATTCAATCCCTAGTACATACATACACACAAAACACACACACACACACACACACGCCTATAGAAGCAAGGGTTTATTTCTAGGCTCTTGATTGTATTTTCATTAGAATATGTGTCTGTAGTGTGTGTGTTTTGCTAGGGATTGAACCCAGGTGTTGTACCTGCTAGGCTAGCAGTCTACCACTGAGCTACATCCAAGCCCCAAATGTCTATACCATGATGTTTGATTACTGCAACTTGAGTATAATGCCTCCTGCTTTGTTCCTTTTGCTTAAGATTACCTTGGCTAAGGGCTGGGATTGTGGTTTAGCGGTAGAGCGCTTGTCTAGCACTTGCGATGCACTGGGTTCCATCCTCGCACCACATGCATCACATAAAAATAAATAAATAAATAAAAATATTGTGTCCAACTACTTCTAAAAAATAAATATTAAAAAAAGTTTACCTTGGCTATTCAGGGATTTTGTGGTTACAAAAAAAGCTAGGTCATTTTATCTACTTCTATGAAGAATAGTATTGGTGTTTTGATAGAAATTGCATTATATCTTTACATTATTTTGGTTAGTGTGGGCATTTTAACAATATTAATTCTTCTAGTTCATGAACATAGAATGTCTTTCCCTTATTTTATGTTCTCTTTAATTCTTTTGTTTTTCTTCTAACTTTATTTATTTTTATGTGCTGAGGATCAAACCTAGGGCCTTGCATGTGCAAGGTGAGCACTGTACCGCTGAGCCATAATCCCAGCCCCTCTCTTTAATTCTTTTCATCATTTTTTTTTTTTCCCACAGTAGAGATCTTTCACCTCTTTGGTTAAATTTATTCCTAGGTATTTATAATATATATTTTATTTTTATTTTTTGGAGCTACTATAAATAGTATTGCTTTCTTGATTTCTATTTCAGATAATTCACTTGGGGCATAGCAGTACAACTAAATTTTGTGTTAGATTTTATATGCTGCAACTTTGTTAAGTTTGTTTATTCTAATTTTTGTGTTTGTGTGTGAAGTCTGGGTTTTCTATACATTTTGTTTAAATCTGTATTTTGTTTTAAATCTGTATTTTGTTCTATGACATGTATCATAGAGAGGTCTTCTATCTGTTAGACATATTGCCCCCAGCCCCACCCCCGCTCATTTTCTGTCAAGATCATGGTTTGTCCTTGACATCATAATAGTTTTTACAGGTTATGGATTCCCCAATCCAAATGCTAATCTTAAATGCTCCAAAGTCTGAAACTAGTGTTTTGGTTTGGTACTAGGGATTGAAACCTTGGGCACTTCACCACAGATCTACATCCCTAGCCCTTTTATTTTTTATTTATTTATTTGTTTGTTTTGTTTTGAAATAGGTTCTCAGTAAATTACTCATGGCCTCTCTAAGTTGCTGAGACTGGCCTTGAACTTGTGATTCTCCCCATTCAGTCTTCTGAGTTGGTGGGACTACAGGTAGGAGCCACCACTCTTGGCAAGTCTGAAACTTTTTGAGTACTGATGATCCTCCAGAGTTCTTGATTTTTGATTTATAGATTAAGAGTGCTCAACTAGTAAAAGCTATGCAGATATTCCCAAATCCAAAAAACTCTGAAATATGAAACACTTCTGATTCCAAGCACTTCAGATAATGGTATATTCAACCCATAATGTAATTACTTTTAATGAAAATATAGAATTATGTAAAATACTGTGTTATGCTTAATTTACATTTGGAAGTGTCTGTAAAATCTAAATTAACAGATCAAGTAATTTAAAATATGTAATGCCTTCTTTTGTAATACAAATAACCATTCCCTAATTGATTATTTTCTAAAGAATTAATGATATAGTCCAAGTATTAACTTCTGCCAGCATTTTACTGTACATAAAGCAGTCTTCTAAGCTGCTTGTGTCTGTTATTCATTTAGGCAGATACTTTTATTATTTTTCATTTTAAGAAACTGAAGGGAAGTTTTACAAGATCAGACCATTAAAAGGTGATTGATTTGGCTGTGACTTGATCCCAGGCAGTGTGATTCCCACTGTATTCTTCCTAACTGCTCTGCTAATACTTTTGGATTTCAAATAATAACTAGAGGTTGATAAAATAGAAGGGATTTACCTTATTTATTTATTTATTTATTTATTTATTTATTTTTATGTGGTGCTGAGGATCCAACCCAGTGCCTCACATGTGTGAGGTGAGCGCTCTACCCCTGAGCCACAGCCTCAGCCCCAGAATGGATTTACTTTTATAAAGAAATTTTCTGTTTCATCTAATATTGTTTAAGGATAATTATTTTTATGTTGTGATAATTACGTTCCTTATATTAGGTGTTCTTTGTATGTGTACTGAATTTGTAGCCTTGTTATGGCAACTTACTAAGTGAAAATTTTCTTTTCCTTTTCAGTTTGGCAATTCTATCATCAGCACACCTCTAAAGCGTCGTAAAGTGGCTTCTCAAGAAACTTTAGTTAATTCTTTATCTTTAAGCTGCCAAAGTTCGTTTGAAAGTGTCATTTTAAATTGTCGAAGTATACGAGTAGGAACACTGTTCCGACTATTAATAGAGCCTGTTATTGTAAGTATATTCTTTAGCTATTTGTTGTACTGATTACAAGATAAATTCCATTGCAAAACCTGATCTATAATATTTAAAATTTGTAAGCTAAATTATCTAAGTTAATAGAACATCAAAATTATTTGAAGATTTCAGATTGCTTTAAGAATATATAAATAGTAATGCCTCACCATTAAAAATTACTGAGTAAAAATTTATCATAATGTTCATGTCCAGACTAATGGCAGATTCACTATAAGAAAATAACCAGTGAATTAGAAAACATTCCAAAATTTAGTAGTTTTATTCTCATGCCAGCTTATTACTTAAAACGGATATGTTAAAGAACTATAGTAAGAGAAAAAAGAATCCAAAAGCTTCAAGTTCCGCTTAAAATTTATGTAGCGTCAAAAGTTTTAGAAAGAGGTTCTTGAAGTATATAGTGAACATCTAAGAAGCATATACTTTTAGACTAGTTTAATATTCACAATGCCTGATGTATTTTTTATAGTACCTTTATCTTCCTTATCATACCTGTCTGCCCATCATTTTACTGTCACCAGGCCCATTCAAGTATTCATTTTCTCTTTGAAATGTTAATTTCCTTAAGCAGTGTTCTTTTTCTTTTTCTTCTTTTTTTTTTAAAGAGAGAGAGAGAGAGAATTTTTTAATATTTATTTTTTAGTTTTCGGCGGACACAACATCTTTGTTTGTATGTGGTGCTGAGGATCGAACCCGGGCCGCACGCATGACAGGCGAGCGCGCTACCGCTTGAGCCACATCCCCAGCCCAAGCAGTGTTCTTTTTCATCATTTTCTTTTTCATGTTTTCTGATATTGTTCATAGATTTATCTTCCTAAAGCACTGTACTTACTCTGTAGACATTTGCTTTATAATGTCTTAACTTGTCTCTGATTATTTGTTCCTATCTGTGTTTTCAAACCCTGTCTCTTGTATTATCCTTTATACATAAAGCAGTATCTGTAAAAGAACATATTATAAACCAATGGAAAACTTAAAAGGGAGTTTTATTCTCATTTTATGTTAAGTAATAATTATTTTTTTATAAAGACATAATTTTTATTTCTGGTAAAGGTTCATGATCCTAAGAAACAATGTGATCCAAAACAAATACATAAACACACACACACAAAATCTACAGCTTAGTTTGTAGGCTCAAATGAAATGTAAACATTATTTCTTCCTCTTTCTTTTCTTCCTTTTTTTTTTTTTGTTTTGTTTTGTTTTTTGGTAGTGAGGATTGAATGCACGCTTATATATGTTGGGCAAGCGCTCTGCTACTGAACTATATCCCCAAATTTTTCTTTATTGAGACAGGCTCTTACTAGTTGCCCAGTCTGACCTTGAGCTTGTGATCCTCCTACCTCAGCCTCCCTAGTGGCTAACATTGCAGCCTTCGTCTAAATGCCTGGCTGTGAATATGATTTCTTAGTAGAGCAAAGCTCCATGGGAAGCCAGTAGTTGTTTTCTATCAAAACAATTATCACAACTTAAAAACTAAAAGTTTTATATAAGTACCCTCAGAGTTTTAAAGCAAATGATATATAGTTTATTTTCCCTTTATTGTCCAGTAACATTGTAATAAATGTTATGTTTTCTAGTGATTCCTAAGACAGGTTTTCACATACAGATAGTCTTTCTTGATTTCTATAATTTAACAAAAATGTTACTCTGTGTACTTTATATCCCCAAAATTTCCTGGGGTACTCTAGGTTTTATGACTTTCCCCCACATTAGCACTATTATAACTTTTCAGTATGATGAATGAGCTTTTGCTGGTGATTTATACATTTAATGAAAGTTGCATATTTAGTTTCGAAGCTCTCTATTAAGGTATGGTGATGCATACCTGTAATCCCAGTAGCTCTGGATGCTGAGGCAGGAGGATTGCAAGTTCAAAGTCAGCCTCAGCAATTTAGTGATACCCTGTCTCAAAAAATTAAAAGGGTTGGGAATGTGACTCAGAAGTTAAGTGCCCCAGGGTTCAATCCTGGTACAAATTTTAAAGAAAGAAAGGAAGGGAGGTAGGGAGGGAGGGAGGGGAAAAGAATTACATTAAAATTTGTTGGGCTGAGTGGTATATGCCTCTAATTCCAGCTACTTGGGGGAGTATAAAGCAGGAGAATTCCAAGTTTGAGGCAAGCCCCATCAATTTAGCAAGACCCTTTCTCAAAATTAAAAGGACTGGGGATGTAGCTCAGTGTTAAAGTGCCCCAGGGTTCAATCCCTGGTGCAAAAAAAAAAAAAAAAAAAAAAATTAACAATTTGGTGTTGTTTTTTTTTTCAATAAAAGTTATAGGTTGAGTTATATATGCTACAGTGAATTGAAACTAGCTTTGTAAATTTAATGGAAAAAAACAAAAGATAGTGTATGTAATATAAAATGTACTGTTTAAATTTTTAAAATGAAAATGCTAACTGAAATAATTCTGGAAAATGAAATGTAGAAATGTGCTGTGTGATAGTAATTTATAGATTACATATTAGAAATGCCATGTCTAAATATAAAATCTTTTCTCATTTTTTCAATGAAAGACATAAAATCAAGAATTTTGATCATTTTAATTTTAGAAACTTTAGAAATATAGATGAAATAGCCCAATGTCTACTTAAAATATTAATATTTATGCTTAATTACATGCAGATTTTTAGATGACATAAATATTTTATGTCATTATTATTGCTGCTCTTTGAATCTTGTAGCATTTTTCTGGAGCATAGAATTTTAGTTTCCTTGTATAGTAGAAGCTTCCAAGCTATAAGTATCCATTCTTGAAAAGCCCAAATAATGTGTTACTTTCCAGTGAAACCAATCAATATATTAAGTTTGAAATGCAATTGTTAAAATATGCATATGACATTGTAGACTGCAATTATTCTAGTAATTACTAAATTTATGTTTTCCTATTTTCTTTTTTACATCATGAAAATTTTCTAACTAAAGTGTTAAAGACTTCTACAGTGAATATACTTCAGTTAAGTTATACTGTTAGTAGCATATTGTACAAGTTGAGTATCTATAATCCAAAAATCCAAAATGTTCTGATATCCAAAACTTGAGTGCTGACATGATACTCAAAGTTTTGGATTGCCTGGTATGGTGGCCCACACCTGTATATCCGGCTACTCTAGAACTTGAAACAGGTGGGTGGGGGGGACACATAACTTGAGCCCATGAGCTTGAGATGAGCTTAGGCAACATATTGAGACCCGCATCAAAATAAAGAAATATATAAAGTTGTCTTGGGGCTGAGGGTATAGCTTCAGGGTAGAATTCCTGCTTATCATGCACCAAGAATTTTTGGATTTTGACCATTTACAATTTCACATTTGCACATTACAGATGCTTGAACAGTAAAATCCAGGCAAATATTCCAAAATTCAAAAATCTTCAAAATCTGAAATACTTTTAGTCCCAAGCATTTTGACAACGTGTATTTGCTTTTCTTCCCTATCTATATCGACTCATCTTATTTTTTAAGTGGACTTAAAAGTACTTACCTCCTTTTTTGATTTTCTGAACTCCTGTAAATATGCAAAAATATTAATTTAGGTTTTGTCAGGCTTAATATTAAATCTTCACATTGAAATGATTAATTTAAAACACTGTCATACCACTTATAATAACTGATTCAGGCAAGGATTTTCAGTGGGTGCTAAAACCATTGGGTAAATGATGAGAAGGGACCAGAGTTCTGACTCAGTGGTAGAGCGCTTCCCTAGCATACGTGAGGTACTGGGTTTGATCCCGGCACCACATAAAAATAAACAAATAAAATAAAGGTATTGTGTCATCTACAACTAAAAAAATATATTTAAAAAGATGATGAGAAAACAGAACTTTCACAAGCCTTCAAGAATTTTTTCTCAAGAGTATTTAATTGCAAAGGGAATGTGTGTGTGTGTGTATATATAGAGGAAAAACAAATGGAAATGTTAAATGGATCAATCAATTTTATATATATGTAGATTATATATATATATATAATCTTTCAAGTGGAAAAACCTACCAGTCGCTGCCTTAGTTTAAGTGATTAAATTTGTATCATTAATGAAACTGACACAGCTTGTCTTCTGATGTGAAATTATGGGAAGTATCAGCCCATCATCTATGTGCAGTTTGTGTGGAAATATGTGGCCTGAATTTTAAAAATGAAGAAACACAATCCGATACATGTTAGATGTTTTGCAGAACTTAGCCTAGGTTTCTTAAAGGCCGGGCCAGGAAGAACAGAGAGAGACTAGTGTAGAATGGAATAGATATGAGATCAATGTAATATAACCTTGATAGATTCATGGATTTGGGCAAAGTTGAAACAAGGATAAAGGCAAATTTTGAGCAGTTAGTGAAATTTAAAGTATGAACTTTTGAATTAAGTTAACCTTGATTTCTAAGATGTGCTAATGTTTTGGTTGCACAGGATAATGTCTTGTTCTTAGGAAATATATGCTGAAGGATTTGCAAATGAAATGCCTGCTTTATGAAGGTTGAGCAAAAGGGAAGTGACCATGTGTGTGTGTGTGTGTGTGTGTTGCACAAAGTAATGCAGTGGATGTGGCAAAATATTAACAGTAAATCTGGGTAAGGAGTATTCAAGTGTTCATTATAATAATATGTGAGTTTCTCTAGAGACAAAGTAGCAATATAAAAAAAATTCTAAGTACTTGGAAAAAAAAGTAAAGCCCTACTTTCTGAGAGATATTTTTTTGGGAAAATATTTCATCTTAAGTTTAAGCACATAGTAAATGACTTGGTTTCTCTTCCTTCTAAAGACGTAAGGTCCATGTAGTCTATCATATAAAGTATGTGTAAAGTCTTTATAAGTCTGTGATCAGTACTAATTATCTTATTTTTTTTTTTAGTTTTGTTTAGATTTTATCAAGATACATCTAGATGGTAAGCTACTTTATATCTGTTTATTCACTAAAGCATTGTGTACACTAAAGTACTTGATAGGAATAAAAGGTTAAATGGTATTTATTGAATTCATTAAGATGATTATTCATTATTATCTGTCTTCTTAACAAAGGGCATGTATCTTGGTGTAATTTCTTTCTACAACACAACAAAGCATAATCTTTTAGAGCCTCTTATTTTGGGAAAAATATAGAAATTTTCTTAATATACTTATGGAATAATAAATAGACCTTTAAATTTAAAGTTGTATTTTCTTCATTCATGATTTTTGATCTTGTAAAAATTGATTGATCCATTTAACATTTCCATTTGTTTTTCCTCTAGAACCAGAAAGTGATCCTGTAGAGATTATTTTAAATACCTCTGATCTAACTAAATGTGAATGGTGTAATGTACGAAAATTACCAGTCGTGTTTCTTCAGGCAATACCAACAGTTTATCAAAAACTGAGCATGCAATTGCAAATGAATAAGGAGGATAAAATTCGGAATGATTGTAAAGGAATAAATAAGTTATCAAGTAAGTTATGTGGAACAGAGTTTAAGACATAATCAGTTGAATAGCAGAATGTGCTTGCACTAGAAAGTGGAAGACTTTATGATTAGTACAGAATGAAGGCCTAATGAAGCAATATTTCTTAGTGCACTAATTTCCTTTATTAGAATATAATACAGTGGCTACCTTGTAAAACAGATATTACTGCCTTCATTTTGTAGTTGAGGAAAATCCCACTCAAAGTGGAAGAGCTGAAGATAAAAATCCAAGTGTACCCATTGAGGAAGTTTTAAAAATGAGTTAAAATTCAAAAGATGTGTATTTTTTAACACTAAGTAAAATCGATTTGTTGAACTGTAAATCAGAATCCATAAAAATAGGCTTATGAATAGAAAGTTTTCAAGTTCATAGAAAAGGTTTTTATTTTTTGTTGCTGTTGTTGTTCTTAATTAAAAATGACCGTAGAGTGTATTTTGACATATTATACATACCTGGAGTATAACTTTCCATTCTTGTGGTTGCACATGATGTGGAGTTACACTGGGGTCTTCGTTCTTTACAAAAAATAGATCTAATTCTCTAGTTGGTTGCCCTTCACCTCTAACATTTATGTCATAGCCTGATTGCTTACAAAATAAATACTTTTCAGCAGTAATTGCCATTTTATCTTAATAATTAGTAACTTATAGTTACTATTAAAACTGCAAACGTTGGAGCTGGAGTTGTGGCTCAGAGGTAGAGTACTCGCCTAGCATGCATGAAGCTCTGAGTTTGATCCTCAGCACCACATGAAAAATAAAAAAATAAAGATATTGTGTTCACCTATAAGTAAAACTGCAAAAGTTGACACATTCGTGAACAGCAGTTTTGCAATTAAATTCAGTAGATATACTACTAATTTGCTTAGCACTTTCCTATTTGTATCTGGCAAAAATGTTACCTGGTACATATTTAAGACTGTAAGTAGGTATATTCGTTACATGCATTAGTAGACTTGTTCTTATAAATACTTTTTTAGTTGTTGATGGACCTTTATTTTATTTATTTATATGTGATGCTGAGAATCAAACCCAGTGCTTTACACATGCTAAGCAAGCACTCTACCACTGAGTTACAACCCCAGCTCAGTAGACTTGTTCTTGAGCTGTTACTAAAATAATAACAGTTCCTTTCTTTTGTTAACTTTAAGTGACATTGGTAACACTGATCTTTATTTCAGTATTTATTGTATCTTAAACATTAATTTTTGGATGTTTATTCCAAGACTTCTGATGATCTAAGTCTTCAGAATAATTAGTTGTTACTCTTTAAATTATCTATTTACTTTATTCTTTTAGTCTTATGGTTATATTTATTTCTTTTCAGATTCGGAGGAACAATACATAATTTTGATTTTTCAAAATGGCCTTGATCCTCAGGCAAATATGGTATTTGAAAGCATCATTACTGACATTGGTATAAAAAATAATGTTCCCAATTTTTTTGCAAAAATTCCCTTCGAAGAAGCCAATAGCAGACTTGTTGCCTGCACCCGAAGCTATGAAGAGAGCATCAAAGGAAGTTGTGTGCAAAAAGAAAATAAAGTTAAAACTGTAATTATGTTAAATTTATTTTGAGTAATGAGTAATTTTAAGGGGACGTGTTTTATAATAATGACTTTCATATAAATTCCATTTTAGAATTAATTCCTTTTTATATGTGATGTGTGAACTATCTTGTAGCATCTAATTTAGGAACAAGATTCCCAATGTACACATACACACACTGCTTCATTCAAATCAATTATTTACCCTGAGTCTTAGGTTTGGAGGAATTTTGCTCCTTTGTGTGTGGTTTTATGCTTTATATTTAATATATGCATACATGATTGAAAACTTGGGAAGGGAGGAATACATATTGTTTGACCTTGATTGTCTGTGTATATATCCAGTTATAGGAACTACTCATATAGTTAGGTAACTCTGAAGCCACATGAACCAAATGCCCTAGTATTATTATAACACTACCACAGCAACTAAATTTTGCTGACTTAATTTATTGGGGCCAAATCTCTCAGCCTTGGTATATACACAGAAATTGACTGTCCAAACACTATCTTAGTGATAGTTGAGCAAGGTCTCACACAGTGGATTGGGATAAAAAGCAGGAGGAAGGGGAATCATCATCCTCATTTTGCAGGGTTGGCTACAGGAGATAATGCTTTAGAGGAAGAAAAGAGTAGCAGAAGCCATAAGATAGATGGAATGGACTTTATATTTCAATCCAAGGCTTCTCCCTCTAAGGAGCCTCTATTTCATTTAAATCTTGTAGAGGGTGAGAGCTTATTAAACTAGGTTCCCTAAGCCTCTGCCCCACATATTATGGATTGCCAAGGCATTAAAAACATTGAACTTAGGTAGGCCTTCACTGCTAGAAGAAAACAAACCCACTTCTGTTTTTTTTTTAAAAGGTTCTTTAAATCTTATACTACCATAATCTGATCTATTATGGATAGTAGAGATCTTATAGTAATAAGATGCTGGAAAGTCATTATTAACATATTAGTATACTGTCTCTGTCTAGAAGCTAAAGATAAAAGAAAGTGACCCCCTACTCTTTCCCCTTTTTTTTCCATATTGAGAATTGAACCCTGGGCCTTTGCACATGTGAGGGAAATGCTTTAACACTGTGCTACATTCCAAGCCTTCTTTTTAAATTTTCTTGAGACGGTCTTACAGAGTTACTCAGGCTAGCTTTGAACTTGTGGTTCTTCTGCCTCAGCCTCTGTAGTAGGTGATAATACAGCGGTGTGCTACCACGCCCAACCTGTTTATTGTTTTTAATACAGATTCAAACATACTATTCTAGTTTCTTATTTTTAATCATTTTTAATTAAAAACTTTCTGTGCCTTGCACTTGCTCTTATAGAAGATTTTTCCATTTGACTTTGAATTGATAATTTAATTTCTTTTACCAGGTATCATTTGAATCCAAAATACAGCTTAGAAACAAACAGGAATTCCAGTTTTTTGATGATGATGAAGAAACCTCAGAGAGCCATACCATCTTCATTGGACCTGTAGAAAAGTGAGAAATTTCTTTTACATTTGTAATGCTGTGAATTTCTTTTTCTTTTCTATTATAATTCACTTATATACATTTGTAAAGCTTTGTTTATTTGCTTGTTTTTTTTTTTTTAATTGCAGATTGATCGTGTATCCACCACCTCCAGCTAAGGGAGGCATCTCTGTTACTAATGAGGACCTGCACTGTCTAAGTGAAGGAGAATTTTTAAATGATGTTATTATAGACTTTTATTTGAAGTAAGTTAATTTTCTACTAACCTTTTAGCAAATTTTTAATAATATTTTGTATTGTGTATTTTTATTTTCTAAAGTCAGATTATTTTGGTTTTAAATTTTACTTTTTGAGTAACATTTGGAAAGTTTTTGATCTGATTTTACCTGTGTTTTCACATTTTAAAAGTGAGAATGGTGTCTAAAAGGATTGTGAGAATTTGGTGAAGTAATACATGTCAAGTAATAGAAAAAATGCAAATTCCCTTCAAAGATTGGTTGGAAAGGAAAAGAATGGAACAAGATTGACTCTGCAAATATTAACTTTGAACAAAGGAGACAGGAGTATCATTAAAGAAATGATGAGCAAAGAAAATTATCAGAGACATTATATGATGATAAAGGAGTGATCCACCAGGAAAACATAGCAACCTTAAATGATATGTTCCATAAAGTAGAGCTATACATGACATGAAGCAAAATTGACAGATCTGTGAGGAGGGAACAGATGAATTATGTTCTCTGAAAGGAAAAACTGCATTAGGTTTTAAATACCTAACCTTGTAAGACCCCCTGAAACCTAACATATATTTAAGGACAGATTTAAAGAAAGTTCTTTGTTGCTAAATCAAAAGATGATATATCAGGCTGGGTTTGTAGTTCAGTGTTAGAGCACTGAAAAAAAAGTGGGGGCGGGAGTGTTTCTTCATACAAATGGCAAACAAGGATTTGAAAAGATGCTCACTTAACTTAATCCTTAGAAAATACAAATGAAACCATAATGTGATATCACTGCAAACCCACTGGGTTGGCTACCATCCAAAAACAGCAAAAAGAAAATAACAATGGTTGGTGAGAATATGAAGAAATTGGAACTGTTTTTCCCTCTTGGTAGTATTATAAAATGGTATAGCCACTACGTAATGGAAGACAATGTGGAAATTCTTCAGAAATTTAAAAATAAAATTGCCACATGATCTTACAACCTGAATCCTGTATAAAAATCCAAGAGAAGTGAAAGCATGGTCTTGAAAAGATATTTGTACACTCCTGTTCACAATAGCTAAGAGGTGGAAATCATTTAATGGTCCATAGATGGATAAATGGATAAGTAAACTATGACATTATACATATAATGGAATATTATTCTCAAAAAGAAGGAAATTGTAACTACAGTCTCATGGATCGAATTCTGGGGCATTATGTGAAAAATAAGTCACAGAAAGACAAATGCTGTATGATCACACTTATGAGATACCCAAAGTAATCAAATTCATAGAAACAGACAGTATAATTGATAGTTACCAGGTACTGGAGGAGGGAGAAAAAGAAATTGTTTATTGGATGTAGAGTTTCATTTTTGCCAAAATGGAATAATGCATACTTTAATTTGTAACCGAAATTAAATATACTGTACACTACTGAACTACTTAGTTAAAATAGTTAAGATAGTAAATTTTGTTTTTACTACAATTTAAGAAAATGTTATCTCAGTCCTGATTTATACTCTACTACTTGAACAAGTCAAGCTACTAAGAATAAGAAGCATGAAGTGAATGTATAGAACAACATTGCTATTGTTAAATGGAGTGTTCATTATTGTTATTAGGTCAATTTGGTTGATAGGGCTATTAAGGTCATTTATCCCTACAGATTTTGTGCCTGGTTGTTCTGTCGTTTATGGAGAAGGGTTATTGAAATATCCCACGTTAATTATGCATTTGTCTTTCTCCTTTGAAATCTTCTATATCTGTTCTTGAAGCCACATGTATTTTGAAGGTCTGTTGTTAGGTACATATACAGTTATTTATATCTTGTAGAGTTTACACCTTTATCATTACAAAGTATCCCTCTTTCTCCCTGATAATCTTCCTTGTTTTTAAGAGCTTTGTTCAAAATGAATATAGCTCTTCCAGGTTCTTTTAATTTGCATTTGCATGGTGTACACATCTTCATCCCTTTACTTTTAATCTGGGTCTTTATATTTGTTTGTTTTTTAAAACATATAGTGGAATTTTAAAAATAGTTGAAATCCTGTATTTTGTTTATGTTCTGTTTTGTCTATTTCATACAGAAATAATTACACTTTTTAAGATATAATCATTATTATATTTCAGGAGTCTCCTCATATTTTAGTTAGGCTTTAAGACAGATTTCATATAGTTAAACTTAGTCTGCCTTCTCTGATACAAGCATAGTACTAATAAAGATTAAAATTAAAAATAATTATTTTTAAATAACCTATTGATATTTCTCTCATGACATTCTTAGAAGTGAAATTAAAAGGAAGCTTTACTATTAAAATGAATAAGTCTTCCTGATGTCAGAGCTGTTCATTCTTCTCTATTTCTAGCTCTACAAATTAGAAACAAACTTTTAAACAAAGTTTGCCAACTTTTCAAGAAGCAGGAAAACATGGCATCTGGGAAATGTTAATACGATGCAGAGAAAAAGGATTATTTTAATAAAAATACTTAGAAAATTACTTTCGTGTAGTTGTAGATTAACCTTAAAAACATTTTCAAATGTTAAAATTAAATGTTATCTTGTTATTATAGATTTTATACTTTTTGAGATAGCGTGAACTATTTGACCACAACAGTCAATATTAAAATGGCTTATGCACTGATGTGCCTTAATGTACCCAAATGGAAGAAAAGGCCAAGAGTTTTTTTTTCCAGTAAACTTGGATTTTGTCTTTAATTATAAACTGAAACATAACTTCTTATTAAAATCAATAATTATAATACATGTATATTTAAAACAACCAGAACTGTATTCACACAATTATTTATGGGTAGTTCAGAGTTAAAACTGAGACAAAACTAGTTTCTTTAAAAGACAACAATTTGTTTATATATGAAGTAGTTAGTTTTCTTTTAATCACAAATAACTTTACATTTTTTTTTTAAGAGAGAGAATTTTTTAATATTTATTTTTCAGTTTTCAGCAGACACAACATCTTTATTTGTACGTGGTGCTGAGGATTGAACCCAGCGCCGCATGCGTGCCAGGCGAGCGCACTACCGCTTGAGCCACATCCCCAGCCCAACTTTACATTTTAAGTTGAATTATCTCTTTGTTTATTCAGTTCAGTTTTATAAAGTAATCATTGTAATTTGGGCCCGCAAAAGTAAAATAGTTCCCCCTCTATGGTTTAGCTCCTGAACTTAGAGCTAAGTTAGTACACATTGCTTTCTGAGTATATTATTACAGAAATAATAATCAGTTTACTTTGTGTCATGAACTTATTGTTTTGTAGGGGCACACTGAGTTGCTTGAATGTAAGAAATATTTTACGTTATTTCCTTTTCATTAGAACTTGAGCTTTGGAATTATAAAAGTAAAAGGTTTCAAAACTGTGCCTGCCCTCTGAGAGAACACACCTCTTAAGCATTTGGTGTTTCTGTGTAAGACTTCACAAGGCAATTAGACTATCTTCACTTGAGTAAAATGAATGTGGCCATAGCTTGATTGCATAGCTCCTATGAGAAAGTTTGAAACAAATAAATTTATTATAACAATTTCCCTTTGCAACATAAAGGAGCATTTCAATTTGTTTTCATATAAATTTACAGAAAACTAAAGTAAGGAAAAATTAGAACCAGTATAAGGTCACTTTAAAGAGACATTGTCGATAACCTCACCACTGCCAGGATTCTTTGTGTCTTTTATTTTCATAAAAAGTAGTATATAGTTGAGTCTTTAAGATTGATTAACTAAACTGTTTAAAATGAAATGAATAGTATTAAAATAATTATTGAAGTACAGTCCACATACCCTGCAAATCACCCTTCTAAAGTCTATAGTTCAGTTTTTTTTTATTATATTTGAAAATTATAAAACTCTCACCACAGTCAACATCTGAACATTCTCATTATCCAAAAGAGAAACCCCAGTACCTGTTAGTAGTTACTGCCTGTTTTTTTTTTTTTTTCAACCTACCAAAGGCCTAAGGTAACCACCAGTCTTCTCTCTGTTAATGGATTTGCAATTCTGGAATTTTTATGTAAATGGGAGCATATAATATGTGGTTCTTCACATGTAGTTTCTTTTACTTAGCATGCTTTTAAGGTTATTCTCTGTTGTCATGTGTATCACCATTTTGTTTCGTTTTATTGTTGAATATTATTCCATGTACATTTTATTTTTCCATTCATTATTTGATATGCAATTCTGTCATTTACTTTTTTTTTTTTTTTGTACCAGGGATTGAATTCAGGGGCACGTAACCACTGAGCCACATTCCCCAGCCCTATTTTTTATTGTATTTAGAGACAGGGTCTCACTGAGTTGCTTAGCACCTTGCTTTTGCTGAGGCTGGTGGTGAACTTATGATCCTCCTATCTCAGCCTCCTGAGCTGCTGGGATTACAGGCGTGTGCTACCGTGTCCGGTATCATTTACATTTTTTGACAATTTTTGAACAGTGCTGCTTGTAATGTTCATGTATAAATTTTGCGTGGACATATGCTTTCTTTACTCTTTGATTTAAAGTGTATCCTTAATTTTAAATTATTATATCTTTCAAGTCATAATATTACTCTAAAATACTATTTTTCATTATCCAAACATAATCTGGTCATTATCATTGTCCAAAAGTTTGCCAATAAGTTCGTTCATTTCTAAGGAATAGAGTTTAATGATAGCTAAAAAAATATTTTATTACTGCATGACTGGTTAATTTTAATATGAATTAAATTATTACATTGAAATTATTTTTGCTTAAAATAGATATTTGGTGCTTGAAAAACTGAAAAAAGAAGAAGCTGACCGAATTCATATATTCAGTTCTTTTTTCTATAAACGCCTTAATCAGAGAGAGAGGAGAAATCATGAAACAACCAATCTGTCGTAAGTCAGACTGAAAATATTTTAACAGATGTAATAAGATTCAATTTTAATTTTGTAAAAAAATCATTTAACAGTTATCAATCAATATCCATGGGAGTTTGATTTCAGATTTCCCCTACCCCACATGCAGATACCCAAATCTGGAGATGGTCAAGTATGTAAAATTGTGCAGTATTTGCATATAACCTATGGCACATCTTCTGTATACTTTAAATCACCTCTAATGATAATGTAATATGCTATTTATGGTCATTATATTCTTCAGGGGATGATGTCAAGGAAAAAAATATATATACATGTTCAGTACAGATGCAATTTTTTCCCCAGAATATTTTCTGTCCTTGGTTGAATTCATGAATGTGGAATGGAGTGCCATTAGTATTTAAAAGAAAATAGAAATCTCTGCAATTTACTTGCTTATTTTCTAAATTGTACAGCCAGGAGAGGCATCAAATAGGTTTATTTTCATTCTTTACAGATTTGTGTTTAACTGCCTTACAATAATCCTGCACTAATTCTAGGGTATAATTTTTCTTAAATTTCTTACTGAATCCACATCACTTATTACTATTACTAGTTTATAAGATTAATGTAATCAATAATATTCTAATATCCCCAGAATACCTAGAATTTATAAATATTATGGGTGTCATATCAAGAATAGTGCTTTCCAAATATGACTGAATTTTAAAAATTGCTTAGATGCAGATTGCTCTGTTTTTCTCTAGCTCTTCCATCTATAATATCTAAGAGAAACCTGTGAATCTGTACTTTAAATAAGTTATTTGGATGGTTCTTCATAGACAAGTTAACATCTGAGTTATTTTATTTATAATTCCTCTCCTTATAGTGATGGCATCCAGCTCTAATTCTTGACTGGTAATAGGTCAAATAGGTAGACACAGGAGTTGTACATACTCACTTAACTGTTTAATGTCTTGAATTGATTGCTACTGTGTATAATACAAATATTTTCTATTTTAACAATTCCTAATTTGCATTTTAGAGTTGTTGATAGTCATTGATTTTGACCTGTGCTCATAATCTATCCTGCTTCATCTAATGTCAGTTGATGCTGCTTTTCCTGCTTTCTTCTCCTTAGTTACCATAAATCATGCTCTTATGCCTGCCCCTCACTGTATAGCTGCTAGTACCAGTTTGCATAATAAAAAAAGTAGAGACGGAAGTCCAGGCAAGAGAATTATTGGAGCCCCTAGGCTATGCCAATAGAATTAAATATCTCTTTCCTCCATATTCAATGATGGGCAGTTTCATGCCTTCATCATTTTATCTAAGATGTTCTATTTTCTTTTCCCAGCTTCTTAAACTGTCTTATACAATTTTTGAAGCTGTTATATGTGAATCTACATAATTTGTAAATCACTGCATATAAGCTAAAACATTAGAGACAATTCAGAAGCTTATAGTTTATCTTTCTTACAGAATACAACAAAAACGGCATGGGAGAGTAAAAACATGGACCCGGCATGTAGATATTTTTGAGAAGGATTTTATTTTTGTACCCCTTAATGAAGCGTGAGTAAAAATTTTTTGTCAGTGTGATGGTACTTTTTAAATATGTGTTTAAAAGGTAAAGAATTCATCCATTTTAAAACCGCTTTTTGAAACTTGTCATAAGTATTGAATATGCCTGTTTTATAAAAATTAATGCAGTTTCCCAGGTACTGAATTTTGTTAAAAAAAAAGATATCTTTCTAGTAATTTTTATAGATCAATGCAGAGTAAAGTCATTCAAACAAAAACAGTGATGCTTGTGGTAGAGAAAATGTTAACACCAAAGGGTGTTTAGTTACATAGATGGGTTTGAATATTTTAAAACACACATTTGCTTTTAACCAAAGAGGAAGGTGGTTGGATTAATGGCATTTGATCAAATTGAAAATCATGCTATTTGAAACAGTTTTCTAAGTAAATGGAGAAGCATAAGTACTTTGTATTTGTATTATCATCCCTGTATATCTCCCTTGACCATAGAGGCATTGATATGTAAAATAGAATTTTAATACAATTTAGACTTCCAAGGTGGTGGTGGTTTGGTGTGTGAATGAGTGAGTGAGTGAGTGAGTGTGTGTGTGTGTGTGTGTGTGTTTTACTGTGGGTTTAACCCAGAGTCTTACATACTATGTAAGTGCTCTGTCACTAAACTACATCCTCAGCCCTTTTTAAATTTTATTTTGAGATAGTCTCCCTAAGTTGCCCAGACTGGTCTTGAATATAATCCTCCTGTCTCAGATTGAGTTTTTTTGTATTTCTCTCTTGCTCTTGCTCTCGCTTTTGTTTTGTTTTGTTTTCCTATGCTTTTCAGCCAAAGACCACTGGAAATTTACCTGGTGTCAAATAACTTGGGAGAAATAAACCATCAGCAATTCTGTGGTCTCTCATTAAAAGAAAGTATAAGAGAATTTGGGCTTTGGTTGGGGGGAGAGTCTGAGGTAGTTTTCTTGGGTAATGAAGTAGCATTCACTTATTTAGTAAAAGAGGGAGATGTTTGCTATTTTGTGGATTGTACTGTAACCTAGCGTTCTCCCCTGCCTAGACAAATTATGGCCTTACTTTGTGTTATTTTTATCGTGGTTTGAGTAAACTTGACTGAGATTGTTTATGTTAATAAGCCTAGCTGTGCCAGTCTATCTTCTGAATACGCTTTTGTTTTCCTTTTGTTTCTTTGAAAAACAGATTTAAAATCTGTTTTAGTGATATACACCTATATTCCCATCCTCTTAAGAGACTGAGGTAGAATGATCACAAGAGTTCAGGAATTTAAGGCCTGCTTGGGCAACAGTGTGAGATCATGTCTCCAAAACATGAATATATTAATTAACTAATTAAAATAAATTGTATTTTAGGGGCTTAAGGTATACCTTAATGGTAGAGCAGTTGACTAGCATTTAAAAGGTCCTGAGTTAGATCCCCTGTCACCCCCCAAAAAGAAAAATGTTTTAATTATGAGGCCTGTGTGCTCTACATCGTAGCCCAAGCAAAGACAGATAACCTAGGTCAGAACATATATATATACATATATTTTAAGTTGTAATCTTATAACAAAATTTAAAACTAACTGAACATTAATTTCTTCATTCTCTCCAAGATAAATTTTCTTTAAATTTATTATGTAAGTAACACATGAGGTACTAGTAAGTAAGAAAGTTATTTGTGAGAAATGAATTATATATTTAAAATAGAAGTACAGTTTGAGTCACATATAATTTAGGGACAGAGGCATATCCCTTTTAGTCACTATATCTGTGTATGGAAACTACTGTCAGTGCTTCTAATCTTCCTGGTGAGAGAAGAATGAGTAAAGATGAAGTGCCACTAAAGGATTTCATAAGAGGAATATACCTTTTGTAGATGGAAAAAAAAAAAAAGCCTATAAGTCACAAGGCCCCTGTTTTGTTTTTCAGAGAGTTAATGCCACAGATATTTACTAATTAATATTAGATTGGCTATCACATTTGTCAACTGTTTTATTTTTCTGATTATGCTTATTTTTTTAAGTTTATAAACTGTTAAAAACTGCTATAGTTATTGTCAAGGAATAAAGATTTGATATTTGGATATAGTTCAATTTAAGATAAGTGAAATTGCCTTGTTCAGCCTCTCTCCCATTGGTAATTTAAGGTTAATGTAGCTACTAATCCATTTGGCATTAAAATGGCTCATAAGCTGGGTGCGGTGGTATATGCCTGTCTATAATTCCAATGACTAGGGAAGCTGAGGCAAGAGGATCACAAGATCAAGGCCAAACTTAGCAACTTAGACCCTTTCTCAGAGTTTTGTAAAGGGGATGGTGGTGGCTGGGAATGTAGCTCGGGGGTATAAAATGCCCCTTGATTCAGTTATTAATAGACAAAAAGCAAAATTTTTTTAACTAAAAAATAAAATGGTTTATAAAAGCAACCTTGGTTCTTTGAGATTATAAGTGATGATCTGATTCAGCTTTCTCCTTTCAGCAAAAAAGGATTATTTTCCATAGTTTTTAGGAGAGGCAACAGAAATCAAAGCTTATCTACATTGACAAAGTTAAGAAATGTCTAAAAAAAATAACAGGCTAAGATTATAGCTGTAGGTTGAACACCATGTTACACCATATTCATCAATTTTTAAAACACATTTTTCAGCATATTAACATTCTAAAACTGAGATGTGCCCTATAGTCATCTGTGTCCTAGATTGAAATGAGAAAGTTGGTGTGTTCTTTCTACTGCCCTAGTGTTTATCTAAATCTATATTAAGAATTAATAATTAAGAACAGGAAAAAAACATCCGTCTGGCATTTGATTTACTGATAATGAAGCAAGTCTTTATGACCTTTCTACTGGATCCTGTCAGGTGAAGACATAGTGCTGTTTCTTAGTACTAGCTTGGGATAATCTAGCATTTTGCAGGAATGAGAATGTGGAATAACTTTATTCCATTCAAAGTACTTATTTTTTGATTCACCAAAATTTATCAAACACCCTATCAAATGAGAGATATTGTGCTTATCTATTAAGTTCTCTAATATCTATCTATATAGACTGTTCATTATATCCCAACACATATCCCTTTCCCTACTAAATAATGTTTTTCAAAACAATTTGTTAGTTTAATGAATATGAGCCAGGAAGGTACAGTTTCTTACTTAGGATCTGTACTCTATGGTTGGGAGCTGTGATACCAGAATTCAGCAACATGCCAGCATCTACTTGATGGCTGGAATTCTTTACTAATGCTTGAAATTTTGTAACAATGACTAGAGTAGATACATTTCAATATAGCATGAAACAAAGGATTATTCATATACATATTTTCCTTCCTACTTATTAATAATAAAAACAGACATGATAAAAAATATTTAAATGGACACAATAATGTTTATTTTTTAATATTTTTATTTTTTAGTTGTAGTTGGACATAATACCTTTATTTATTTATTTATTTTTATGTGGTGCTGAGGATCGAATCCAGGGCCTCGCACATGCTAGGCAAGTGCTCTACCGCTGAGCCACAACCCCAGCCCCTTGTTTGTTTATTTTTATGTGGTACTAAGGATCGAACCCAATGCCTCACATATGAGAGGCAACCACTCTACCACTGAGCCACAACCCCAGCCTGATGAAAGGTTTTTAAAAGGAATTTTTCATTTTAAAAACAAGAAGCAGATCAGAAGATTGTTTAAAAGTGAATTCAGGGGCTGGGGCTATAGCTCAACATTACAGCGCGTGCCTTATATATGCGAGGCACTGGGTTCGATCCTCAGCACCGCATAAAAATAAATAAAAATATTTTGTCCATGTACAACTAAAAAACAAACAAAAAAAAGTGAATTCAGTGCCAGGCGCAGTGATACATACCCGTAATCCCAGCAGCTCAGGAGGCTGAGATATAAGGATCGCAAGTTCAAAACCAGCCTCAGCAAATGCGAGGTGCTAAGGAACTCAGTGAGACCCTGTCTCTAAATAAAATACAAAATGGGGCTGGGCATGTGGCTCAGTGGTCAAGTGCCCCTGACTTCAATCCTTGTTATCCCCCTAAAAAAAAAAAAAAAATATATATATATATATATATTAGGCTACATGGTTTTAATAAAAATTTGTGTTATTTTTGAATAGACATTGTATTGTTAACAGTGATCATACATACACATGAAAACAGGTATAAATGATTTGAGAATTGAAAAAAATTAGCATTGTTACATTTGTTCACAAAAGCTTTAGAAAAAAACATTTAATTGGTATTTACTACCGAATATAATAAACTTTTCTAATAACATATTTAGTAGTTTCATTTGTTTTTTACAGCGCACACTGGTTTTTGGCTGTTGTGTGTTTCCCTGGTTTGGAAAAACCAAAGTATGAACCTAATCCTCATTACCATGAAAATGCAGTCATACAAAAAAGTTCAACTATAGAAGATAGTTGTATTTCTTCTCCTTCTGCCAGTGAAATGGACAGTTGTTCACAAAACTCTTCTGCCAAGCCTGTAATTAAGAAGATGCTAAATAAAAAACATTGCCTAGCTGTAACTGATTCAAGTGCTGGACAGGAAGAAAGTGACCCTTGTTATCGGAGAAACATATGCAGTGTGAAATGTAGTGTGAAAAAAATAAATCATACTGCAAGTGAAAATGAAGAATCCAATAAAGGAGAATCTGCATGCCAGAAAGTAGTTGATAGGACTAAAAATGAGAATGGCCTACAGAATGAATGTTTGAGTTCTGTGCATCATCCAGGTATGTATTTCTGTGTTCTGAAAGAATGAAAGAATCCAGAATAGGATTAAACAATCAGATTTTTAAAAGTCCTGTTTATTGATATATATTACACTTAGAATAACATTCACTCATTGTATCAGTATAGCTTGAGCTGTGTGATTGTATACTGTCATATAATCACTACCACAACCAAAATTTAAAACCTTTTCATCACTCCAGAAAATCTCCTTGTGCTTCTTTAATAGTCATTCTCCTCCCTTTTCCTCTACAAGTTCAGTTTTGAAATTGTAGAATAGGTTACGTATCCCTAGTCTGAAATCTTAAGTGCTTCAAAATCTGAAACATTATACAACAAATGGAAAATTTCTATACCTGACCTTGTGATGGTTCCAGTTAAAATGCAGATATATTAAATGTTGTATAAAATTACCTTCAGGCTGTGTGTAATTCTGGTTCCAAACATTTCAGATAAGGGTTACTCAACCTGTTCAAGGTTTTTATTTTCCCACTTATGAAATTTCATAGGAGATTTTCTGTATTCAAAATTAACAGTAGTTGTATAGTCCTAGATCTATAAAGCTAATAAATTCATTATTCTCAGTTTACAGACTGGTGAATTGAGTACAAGTGGCCAGAAGCAAAAATTAAAGCTTTAGCTGGGTGCATGCCTATGATCCCAGCAGCTCGGGAAGTTGTAGCAGGAGGATCATGAGTTCAAAGCCAGCCTCAGCAACTTACAGGGGCTTAATGACTCAGTGAGACCCTGTCTAATAAAATATTTAAAAAGGGTTGGGATGTAGCTCAGGGATTAAGCACCCCTGGATTCAATCCCCAGTACCAAAAAGAAAGAAAGAAGATGAAAGTTTTTCTCCTGTAAGCTATTGAAGCTTCATTCTTCATTCTTTACTATTTTAAATAGGAAGAGGGGCACCACTCCAACTTCTGCTTTTGTTTGTTTGTTAAAGTGCTAGGGATTAAACCTGGAAAGTTTGATCAAACATGCTAGGCAAGTGCTCTGCCACTGAGCTATACCCCCAACCCCAACTTCTACCTTTTTATTTCTCATCCTCTCTAATAAATTGATTTTCTTCTCCTTGAGTTAGTTGCATATTTCTAGCTTCTCTCATAAGAATCTAAAAATTCTCTTTAAATTCTTATATTTTGTATTAAGTCAGTTATATAATTTTCTTTCCAATGCACAAGAGTCCATTCTATATCTTAATTTAAACACTACAAAAAGTATACCTCTATCAACATATCACATGTTATCCTATAAATATATACAAATCTTTTTTTAGTCCTGGTGAACAAACTCAAGGCCTTATGCATGTGAGGAAAATGCTTTACTTTACCATTGAGCTACAAAAATGTGTAGAATCCTAAGAATATGTACAAGTGCTATGTGTCAATTTAAAAAAAGATTTGTAAGTCTGTTCCATAAAACCCATAATATGATATAGTGTGTGCCTTGCAGATTTATTAAAATGAAAATAGATTTAATATATTTTGTTTGGATGGGAAAAAATATGTGGAATAGGCCATAGAAGAAATTATGTGGATTCAGAAAGAACATGTTGAAAATTATGAGTGCTGAACATACTCTTGGTACTTCTACCAGCTTGTATTATTTTGTGAGTCAGAAACTTTTGTTGAGCTCTTGTAAGAATATTTTGATTTGTTGGGCCTACTAAGCTGCATAAAGTTGATTTCAACTCTGGAGTAGTTTACCTTTGAGAGAGAAGAAGCAGAAAAGGAAAACATGCAGGAAACTTCAACAGAGGCCAAGCAGATAAATACTTTTCTAGCTCATTTTCCAGTCTTATTTCATTAGTCAGGAAATAGAATAAAAGTAGGCAAAATGCTTGCCTATTATTTTTCCAATTTCAGTGGTTTAATACTTGAGGATAAAACTACGCATTTATTTGAAATCTCCAGAACAGGAAAATCTGTAGCATAGACATTGACTGCTTAGGACTTTTTTTTTTTTTTTTTTTTTTTGGTAGTAGTCAAGGACAGGAATGTGGCAATGGTAAAGGAAAGCTATTGAGTACTGGGTTTTTTTCTTTTTGAGGTTTTAAACTTGATTGTAGGGATTGGACATGTAACTCAGGGGTAGAGTGCCTGCCTTGCATGCCTGAGGCCCTGGATTTATTCTGTAGCGATGCAGGGGTAGGGTTGGCAGCATTGATTGCAATGATACTTGTACAAATGTATGAATATATAGTTATCCTCTGGTATCCATGGAGAATTGGTTACCGATCTTCTTGCTTTCCCCCAAGTACACCCAAATCTATGGAATCTCAAGTCCTTTAAATGAAGTGGCATATTTGCATACAAGTTGTGCACTTACTCCCATATACTTTAGAGCATCTCTTAAAGTATACTTTACTACAGTAAGTATGCTGAATTACATTATGTAATACAATATAAATGTTGTGTACATAGTTGTTATACTGTATTTAGAGAATAATGACAAGGAAAAAAATCCATACATGTACAGTAAAAATATTTTTAAATATTTTTGATCTATAATTAGTTGAATCAACAGAGAACCCGTGGATACAGAGGGCTAACTATGAAAAACACTGGATTATATGCATTAAGTGATTGAAAGTTATATGAATTTTATTTCAGCACTATTAAAAAGAGAAGCCAGGGGAAATATTTTAGTGGTTAAGTACAAACCCATGGGCTTGATCCTCAGCAAGGATCCTCTTAAGAAAGTAACACAAGAGAAGGTATTCCTTTGATGAGTTAACCAAAAATACTTTAATGTGAAATGAATTAAAGAGCAATGTAAATAAAGCTTAGGGCTTTTTAATACACAAACTCCACAGATTCCTAGTGCCCTCTCCTACAAATTAAAGTTCTGCTCAAGTTGAATAGCCAGTTAAAATTTGAGTGAACAGCATAAAAAATTCTAATGAGGACCAAAATTAAAGTATGTGTCATGTATTAATATCTGTTTATCCCATTCATTTTTTAATTATAGTTAATGCATTTGTTTTGTTTTCAGTATATGTGCACTGACACCAATTATATCTTCATGGGAGGGAGGCGGGAATGTGGGGAGAGGCAAATGATAGCTGAAGGGTAGAGAGTTTCGTCTTTTTTGTTTTTTCACTCTTGTGGTGTAGGGGATTGAATCCAAGGCCTCACATATGCTAGGTGAGTGTTCTTCCACTGAGTTATATCCCCAATCAAAGGCTTATGAAACAAGTGTTTCACAGAATATTGATTTTTCATTTTTTGTATTTGTGATAACACCTGTACTATTTTCTTAGTGCTTGCTTTAGTCCAGGATTGATAGTGTCCCACAGTTTGAAATAGTGCTCTAAAGTGGGTCTCTGCACACTTGGGTAATGAGGTTCTATAGTTTTAATCAGATGTTTCCAATGCATCATTACCCAAAAGTACATTAAATAAGAGTGCTCTTTAGATGTGCCTTTGCCAACCACCTCAGAAAGGATGCTTAAGCAGTCTGTCCTATATACAATGATAGCATATTAATCAGGATTTAAATTGTGTATTTTAGACCGTTTTAACATAATTTTAGCTATCAAAGACATAGTTACCAGTATTGACTACTAATGTTAGACAAAGTGCAGTTGTATGTAAATGGAATTATATCTAATCCCAGATATTAGGATTTTTAAGTCAGTGTGTGAAAAGCACTTGCTATTTTTTCAGTTGGGCACCATATGAAATAGTTAACTTGCTAGGGTACATGAAATGTGTTTAAACTTGAGACTCAAAATCATCTTCAGATGGTCTCACTATGAGAAACTCTCAGGAACTTACATTTATTGATAGAAAGATTGATTGAGCCCAGCATGGTGGCACATGCCTGTAATCCCAGGAGCTAGAGAGGCTCAGGCAGATTTCTGAGTTCAAATTCAGCCTCAGCAACTCAGTGAGATCCTGAACAACTTGGCAAGACCCTGTCAAAAAGTAAAAAATATGGGAACAAAAATGGGTTGGGGATGTGTCTCAATGGTTAAGTGCTGCTGGGTTCAATCCCTGGTACCAAAAAAAGAAAAACTGATTGAATTGCTACCATTTATTTATTCCAGGTCATTTGTTTATTGACAGTAATAAAGGAGGGAATTAAATGAATTATTTAATTTAATATGTTTTTGAAATGCACATACAATTTAATTGATGTAAGGTAAATATTCATATGACCACAGTTTCTGTAGATAAGAATGACTTGCTGCTAATAACCTGATTAATAATACTAACCTGATTGTGATTTACTGATTCTTAATTGCCAGAGGGTTTGGGCAAATTTTGGGCAAATGTTATTCAAATAAAGGTGTTTTAACTTTAAACAAACATAAAAATGCAGTTTTGAAAAAGATAAGATGAGGAGATTATGGTTTGTATAACAAAATGGTTTACCATTATGTTTGAATAGTTATTTTAATAATAACTGATCATAATATTTTAGGTATGTGTATATTTAATAATATTTAATAATATTTAGACTTTTGTGTCTTTTCAGGAGTACATTTCATTTTGCTTCCTTCCCAACATTTTTATATTAATATTTTGACCCCTTATACGAAAACTAAACTTATACTAAAATAAACTTTATCTAAAATAACCTAGAAGTCATGCCTTCTAAATTTTGTAAATGCTGTGCTCTGAATTAAACAATATTGATATATTTGGTATTAAAATCCCTGACTTGGGCTTAATTGCTTTCATCTACATCTTATATTTCTTTGAAATGTTTTATGTAAATAATTTTTTTTTCAGTCAGCAAAACAGTTGATTTAATGATTTAGTTTCTTGGAACAAAAGCACCCATTAAAGTAGTCATTGTAGCTTTTCTCAATAACTGCTTTTTTTGTGGTGCTTTATTTTAATCAATTTTTTTACATTTATTGTATAATTTATATTTTCACAGTTTTAATTTTAAAATTATACATTATTTTGTGTTCTAAAGTTTGCTGGTTTTGTTATTTAGCATTTATATTATTTTCAGATTGTTGTAACTTCTATTATGAGTTTAAAATATCTGGACTACCTAATACAACAATGTTTATCTACATATATTCATTCATTATGTATTTTAAGTATGTGTACGTTTAATCATAACTGATACCTAGTTTTTAAATTTTAATGAGTTTCAGGGTCTAAGTAGTAGAAACAATTTGGTAATTGATATGTCAATTAAAATAACTTGCTTTTTTTGTGAGATTACATGATAAAATAGATTTTATATCCTTAACTATTATATCATTGAACTACTATATCATTGATTAACTATGAGCATTAATTTTAGCATTATATTTTATTAATTATAGGCATGATGATCTTTTTTAATATATGTTTCTTGTTGATACAGATGGCTTAAGCAAAATCAGACTAAGCTATGGTGATGAATCAGCTGAAGGTAGTAAAATGCTTGAAGATGAACTAATTGACTTCTCAGAAGATCAAGATAATCAGGTAAAACTGAAAGCCTGGAAAAATATTCTGTTTTATCTAAAATTTTTCTTTAGGATCATGTAAGCAGGTCCTTCAACCAGTAAAATCTCATCATGGCTTCTGAAATTTGGGTCATAGCTCCAAACACAAATTTAGGTTTCAAGTCAAAGGTTCCCAGGATAAATGTATTAGTACTGCTGTTGTCTTGCCACTCTGATCTGGGCTGACCCTAACATGACCTCTGAAAGTTTTAATATAAAATTAATTCTCACCTGGGCATGGTGGCATACACCAGTAATCCCAGCAACTCTGGGGGACAAGGCAGGAGGATCAAGGTGAAAACCAGCCTTAGTAACTTAATGAGACCTTGTCTCTATATAAATTAATATAGAGAGTAATAAGTTGGGGATATGGTTCAGTGGTAGAGTGCCATTGGATTTAAGCAATCCCCAGTGCCACCAAAAAAATGTTTTATTTCTCTTACCAAAACCCAGCTAACACCTTCTACCCTACTTCCTCTTTCAAAGAATTTTTGGGTCATACTTTGTAGAAACTTGACATTCAACAGGAAAATGTTTAAATTTGAAATTATGTAGTATGTGAGCATACAAATATTATCTCTCTGAAGTGTCTCCAGTGATTTTTTTCTTTTAATTTAATGTATATGTATCTTGACAAGAGCAGAACATAAGTGAATTCTAATATCCATTATGAATATTAAGAAGTGTATGGTTTTATTTTATTTATTTATTTTTGTTGTTGTTGTTGTTGTTTTGTTTGTGGTGCTAGGGATTGAACCCAGGGCTTTGTGCATGTGAGGCAAGCAGTCTACCAACTGAGCTATATACCCAGCCCCAAGAAGTGTGTTTTTGAAACTATTTTATAGTTTCAATTAAATAGAACCTTATATTAAAAAATCATAAGCACCCTACAGCCAATTATTATTTATTTTTTTGACCTTTCTCTAGTTGTTAGGACAAACTTTGTTTACATAAAAGTAAAGATTGCTTCATACTGTACTATTTTTTTCTTTTTGCTTAATCTACTACTAGCAAACCAAGAAAGCACTTTTTTTTGCATTTTTTAAAATTATTTTTTTAACTTATTTGTTCTAATCAGTTATACATGACAGCAGATTGCTCTTTGATTCATTGTACACAAATGGAGCACAATTTTTGACTTCTCTGATTGTACCAAAAGTAGGGTCACATCATTCATGCAGTTATACGTGTACCTAGGGTAATGATGTCCACCTCATTCCACCATCTTTCCTACTCCCATGCCCCTCCTGCTCTCACCTTTGCCCCATCCAAAATTCTTCCACTCATCCCATGCTTGCTCTCCGACCCCCATTATGGATTAACATCTCCTTAACAGAAAAAACATTTGGCCTTTGGTTTTTGGGGATTGGCTTACTTCACTTAGCATGATGTTCTCCAGCTCCATTCATTTACCTGCAAATGCCATAATTTTATATTCTCTTTTATTGCTGAGTAATATTCCATTATGTATAAATACCATAGTTGCTTTATTCATTCATCTATGGAAGGGCATCTAGGTTGGTTCCCGAATTTAGCTATTGTGAATTGTGCTGCTATGAACATTGATGTAGCTATGTCACTGTAGTATGCTGTTTTTAAGTCCTTTGGGTATAGAGCAAGGGGTGGGATAGCTGGGTCAAATGGTGATTCCATTCCAAGTTTTCTAAGGAATCTCCATACTGCTTTCCTAGCTGCACCAGTTTGCAGTCCCACCAGCAATATATGAGTGTGCCTTTCCCCCCACATCCTCACCAACACTTATTGTTGTTTTTATTCTTGATAATTGCCATTCTGACCGGAGTGAGATGAAATCTTAGAGTACTCCTAAAGTGCAAGAAATGAAATCATAAATCAATAAATGGAATGGATTCAAACTAAAAAAGTTCCTTCTCAACAAAAGAAACTATCAGTGAGGTGAATTGAGAGCCTACATTTTGGGATCAAATTTTTGTTACATGCACATCAGATAGAGCACTAATTTCCAGAATATATAAAGGAACTCAAAAAACTTAATACCAAAAAATCAAACAACCCAATCAATAAATGGGCTAAGGAGCTGAACATACATGTCTCAGAAGAAGATATACAGTCAACAAATATATGAAAAAATGTTCAACATCTCTAGTAATTAGAGAAATACGAATCAAGAAAACACTTTTTTTTTTTTTTTTTTGTGATGTCCCTTGGTTAACAACGAATGACTGTAGATGTTTTTTTTCCCAATATATACAGGTTGAGCATCCCTAATTTGAAATCCATATTTTAAGTACTAATAGTATGCTGTCTCTTATAGGATGATAGCAGTGATGATGGATTCCTTGCTGATGACAATTGCAATTCAGAAATAGGACAGTGGCATTTAAAGCCTACTATCTGTAAACAGTAAGCAATAACTATGTCTTGTAAACTATATGATGTTATTTAAATAGTTTTTGCTTAAACAAATATTTAAGTATAATTCACAAATGCTGTCAGGATCATTGAGGAAAAGTGGGGTGTGCCACCAGGGATAAAGGAAGGGAGAATGAGTAATTATTTCAGTCCCCGATTTGCCCATTTTTCTAAACTCTTCATCTATGGATATACATATATGTCTCAATAGTTAACCATTATTCTTTTTAGTATACTGTGTTTTGGAGCAGAAAACACATGTCAAAACAGTTAACACAGGTTTGGAGTTTACACTGGTTCCGTAACTCCTACATCGGGGCCGTGGAGTGAGTCACATCAGCACTAAGGGATACATTTCATATAGGAACCCCAAATGAGAGTAAATCACTGTTAGTTTTCAGAAGTACATGTGTGTTTTGAAGTCTCTCCAGAGATCCCAAATTTAATTATTTCTAGACTTTATCTCCTTTGACTTTGTTTATAGGAGACTTTGAAAAGCAAACTTAATTTACAAAAGTAAACACAGATAGATACCTCTGGTAGTCCCCTCAGGACAAGGGGATGTAGCTCAGGAGTAGAGCATGTGGTTTAGTATGCTTGAGGCTGTGGGTTAAAAAAACCTTGGCACACACAGCAAGAAAGTCTACTCCAGATCCCCCCCCCCCAAAAATTTAGCTAAAATTGGTCTAGATCTTATTATTTCAGGACATTTGGCACTTCATGTACTTACTTGGGTTTACAACATAGCTGTATAGAATTGAAGTTCTTTGAAAATTGGATTTGAATTAAGTGTTCTATGGTAGAATCTTAAAACATACACACACACACACACACACACCCTAAACTGTTGCTTTTATGTGATAGTTAAATGTCTTAATATTTGTAATAGGCCTTATTTTTTTTAATGGGGTTATTTTCCTTCTACTTTCACATGGCCCCACTGGGTTTTTTTGTTTTTGTTTTTTTTAAGTGGAGTGAATGTTCAAATTTTCATACTTTTGTTTTTCTGCTAAATTTTTAAAGTATTATTAGGAATCAATTATGGAAATTTAGTGTAACATATTTATAACCAAGGGTTACATTAATATTTTACAACTCAATGTTTACTATAACCATCAATACCTAATTACTAGGCTGCTTGTCTCTCTAAAGTTTATTTTTCTTCTGGTATTTACTGAGGTAAACAAGTAAATTCTGAAGTTTTTAAAATTTTATGTTAATATGCTATTAGTCTTTTTATGCTTTTGTAACATTGTGAAATATTCAATTTTTGGTCATTTGTACTCTGCAGACCTTGTATCCTACTTATGGATTCACTCAGAGGCCCTTCTCGGTCAAATGTTGTCAAAATTCTAAGAGAGTAAGTTCAGAATTGCACCTCACACTTTGTTTTGTATTCTGTTAGAGATGAGGCAGTTTGTATATTTATATGTGTATAATTTATTGCATATGCATTATTGCAGGTATTTAGAAGTGGAATGGGAAGTTAAAAAAGGAAGCAAAAGAAGTTTTTCTAAAGATGTTATGAAAGGCTCTAATCCAAAAGTACCACAGCAAAACAACTTTAGTGATTGTGGTGTATATGTATTACAGTATGTAGAGAGCTTTTTCGAGGTGAGTTTTAGTTTTTTGGATCTGACATAATTGATAATGAAATGTGTATTTGACTTTATTTTTTGTATAATGAACAACTATTTTGTATAGTGAGCAACTATTTTAGAGTTTGAAAACTGTGGTTTCAAAAATTATTCCAGGGAGGAAAAACTTAACAATTGGAGAACTGTTAAAAAAAATTCTTTGCAATACAGGGAATCAAAGCTAGAGGCACTCTACCATTGAGCTACATCCCCAGCCCTATTTAAATTTTGAGACTGGCTGTCCTTCAGTGGCTCAGGCTGGCCTCAAACTTGGAATCCCCTTCCTTTTGTTGCTGGAATTTTAGGAATGTTCCACCATGCCCAGTACTAATTGGAACACTTTTAAAAGACATACAGGTCACCAAATCCAGTGCTGATCAACCTGTCCTGTCCACTGGTTGTTTCCACCTTAACTAATCTCTCCTGTAGTTCCTACTGTCTCATTTCTCCCCATCACAGATTTTTTTTTTTTTTTGTACCAGAGATTGAACCAACCACTGTGCCACATCCACAGCCCTTTTTATTTTTTATTTAGATACGTGGTCTCACTAACTTGCTAAAGCTGGCTTTGAACTTGCAATCCTCCTGTCTCAGCTTCCTAAGCTGATAGGATTACAGAAATGCACCACCACACCAGGACACAGATATATTTCTTGAAAAATAATTGTATTTACTGTCTCCATTTCATACTTGTTCCTCAGATCTCTGATATCTGGCATTATCCTTACCCTTATGTTAAAATTGTTCTTTACTTCCCATAACCATTTAACATTGTTGACCATTAATTTTTCACTCTCTTCCTTTAACTTCAGAGTAATAGTACCATACATTTCTCCCTTAGATATTCCTTAGTTATCTTGACTCCTTAGTTCTTCACCCACTGTCCAGTGGATGAGTCACAAAATACTGACTCTTAGATATCAATGCATTCATTACCTTGTCCCTGCTGTTTCTTTCCAAGTCCAGTGTGCTAGCACCACTCTTGAAGGCTTCTGTATTGATTCCCATTCTTCTGTTTCATATTCCCATTCTTTCTGCCTTCTCTTTTTCATAATTGTTTTCAAAAACCCAAATCTAATCATGTTACTTTTTTTAGTAGCCACCATGATGATTATATTGTTATTATTACTAATATCTTCCCTTCACTGCCTGTACTTCTATTTTATAATGACAAGTGCTCTAAATTCACTAGAAGGGTTCATACAACCATTGTGAAGCAGCCATTCTAAAGAGTTTTCTCCCTCAGGAACTATCATCTAGAGAGGGGTCACAGAAGCCTCCCAGCTTCCAGGGTCTACCACATCTCCAGGGTAGAGTGAATACCTGGTGTCCCCATACCCCTTCAGCATGATCCATTCTCTTATGCTTGAGAGGCATAAGTCAGTTATAAGATTCCCTCTAACCCTGAGACTCTGGCGTTGTTTGTTACAGCAGTTGCTTGACTCCTCTATACCTCTGAGATAGCACCAACTCAACCTTATCCAACCACAGCTTTATTGCATTCAAGAGTGTGCCCTAAAATTACCATGAAAAAAAAAAAAGCCAGATACATGCTAGTGTTTCTTTATAAAAGCAAAAATGTTCACTGTTCATTCCAAGTAAATTGTTTCGTAATCCAATGGCTTCATCCAGGCTTCCAAAAAGAGCTGAAATGCTCAGGATACAGCTAAGCACAGCGCTCAGAGAAGATGCAGATTTGTAAGGTTGTTGGAGCTTCACTCAGCCTCCATGGTTCTTTCGCAAATGAGTATTTTCCTTCTCTCCAGTCCTGCCTTAAATATTTCAGTGGCTTCTTCTTGCTTTTGAGTTAAAGACCAACAAGTTTCAAATGACCTGTATGATCTAGTATCTATCTAAGCTTTAGCCTCATTTTCTGAGCATTGTCATTCTAGCGTTCTATATATCAGCCAGCAGAAAGTTACTCAGTTTTTCATTTTGTGTCTTGTCCTTTCTTTTCTCTAAGCTGTATTACACATTTCTTGCTGGAATACTCTTCACTATTGCTTCTGTCTTTTCTTGACTGGCTAATGTTTACTTGTTCTTCAGGTTTACTCTCCTAGAATAGTATTAGCCCTTAGATATTTATTCTCATAGTGTTCTATACTTATGTCGTAATATTTGTCGTATTCACCATTGAATTATCTTTCTGTCTGGCCTGGGGCTGACAAACCTTTTTATAAAGGACAAGAAAGTTAAGTATTTTTTTTTAGGCTATATAGCCATACGATCTCTGTTGCCACTCTGCTACTCTAAGTTCTACACCCATACACCATATATGAATGAGATTATGTGTTTGTATTCTAATAAAACATGGGCTAGGGATGTCACTCAATGGTAGAGCACTTGCCTGTCATGCATGAGGGGGAGGCCCTGTGTTTGGTATCCAGCATTGCCAAAAAGAAAAGAAAAAAAAAAAAAAACTTTACTAAAATAATGGATATGCAGAATTTGGCTTAGTGGTTATAGTTTGCCAGCCTTTAATCAAGACTATAAGATCTATATACACAGAAATTGTCTTACATTTCTGGTACCCAGCATATTGCCTGGCATATGATAGGTAATGAATAAATATATATTGATACTTTCTTTTTTAAAAATCATTCCTTTTATTTGTACTAGATACAAATTTATGATGTACATAATTTCTTAATATATGTATATGAATCTGAATATGCCTATATTAAGAATGAATTTTTTTTTTTTTAAGATCTTTATGGTTGGTCATACATAGTAGTTGGGTCCATCTGGACAAACTTAGACATGCATGTAAATCAACTTCAATTGATATTTTCATTTTTAACTTTGGACTGTTTTTGTAATTGAAGCTAAAATGTTATTGATTATAATTTTCTAATAGACACTTAATCTTTGATTTTCAGAATCCCATACTAAATTTTGAGCTACCTATGAATTTATCAAACTGGTTTCCTCCCCCAAGAATGAGAACAAAAAGAGAAGAAATTCGAAATATAATTCTGAAGCTGCAAGAAGATCAGAGTAAAGAGAAGAAACAGCCTAAGGACAGTTCCTCAACAGAAGCATCTTTAGGTGAAAGAACAGAACAGTATGTCAACAGTGTCTCAGACTGACCAGAAGACAATTGTTGCTTGTGGCTTTCAGAAATAAAATGACTTTCAATTTTGGGGACAGACAGTAAAGAACTGAAGTACTCACTACTCAGAGTGATTTGGAGATGTTAATGCTTGTATAAATGTCATATAATTAATTTCCAAAGGAGTATGTATTAAGTAAAAGTCTGTAAATATGTTAATGAAGCCAATTTTTCCAGCATTTATAATTATTTTTTTCACTTGTTAGGAAGCTTTTGTTATGTATTTTCTGTTAATAGTACTTAAAACTGCAACTTCTAAACACAAAATAAATAAAAAAATATTTATAGGAGGAAATGATTAATCTGATACATTCTTTAGTGAACTTGTATAGTTCCTTCAGTGGGTTTGATTTATTTTATGGGAATAGTTAAGTATCTATGATAATCTTTTTACCTTTTATATTTGTTCTAAAATAACTCAAAATGTGAAAATAATATTAAATCTAAGGCACTTTCAATTAAGAAAACATCTTTATATACTTGTACAACAGGAAAAAAGTACAGCTTTTCAATTCATACACTCTCATGTGTTATGAAAAACCAAAAGTGTAGTAAATATTTATATATAATTTTCACATACTTAGGAATAAACAGCATTGAGTAACTTAAAGAAAACTACCCTTGAATTATACTACCAAAAAATAACTAGCATACATTATTATCAAATGGATTTTTGAAGACATCAAAGACTCAGGTTGAAACTATTTGATAAGTGCAGCTTGAATTTCAAATATCCCATGTTACCTTTCTATATTATATCTTCAAATATGCTGCAATCTGTGTGATGTAGTTAATTGATAAACATTTTTAATCTGCATAAACAGGAATTTAAATAGGAATTGCTATTTTTTGTAACAACTTTTGCTATTTTTTATTGCTCATTTTGATCTTATTTTGATAAAGTATCAAAATCACTTTTGCTTGAGTTTTTCAGTGCAAATTATTTTTACATGTAAAAGTACTGTCTTTAATCACATAATGCAGCAAAAATCTCCCTTTGAAATGCTAAAATATGGGTCTAGGAATATAGCTCAGTGGTAGAGTGCATACTTAGCTCATGTGAGGGCACTGAGTTGAATCCCCAGCACCAAAAAAATAAAAATACTAAAATGTGAAGATTCTGATGATACATTTGCAACTCATATAGAGCTTGCATATATTTGTAGAAACTTCATTATTTTTCAAATGAAATCATATACATTCTTTCCAGATGAGACTTGAAATATATATTTTAAGTCATTTTTTGTTAAATGAGGAATGAATTTTTAAATGCAAGTATAACAAAAATAATAATTTTTAAAAGGCCATTTCTATTGTCAGTAATTATTTTATTTTTAACTTGGCTGGCTCTGGTATGGTGATAAACAGTTTAGAGGGTTTTTAGTAATAACTTAGTTCTAATGGTTAGATAATTAATTCAGTTATGAAAAGCAAGAGTTGTACAGCAAAATGCTTTTGGATCTCTAGCGAAGCGAAGACAAAAAAGCGGAACATCTTTTTAAAAACTAATACCTAAGTTTTTTCAATGAACTGTATTTTGCTAGAATTTGATGGTACTGAAAAAAACTATCCCAGGGGCTGGATGTGGTCGCACATGCCTATAATTGCATCTGTTCTGAAGGCTAGAAATGAAGATCACTTGAGCCTGAGAGATCAAGATCAACCTGGGCAACATAGATTCTATCTCGAAAGAAAGAGAGAGAGAGAGAGAGAAAAGCTATTCTAAAGTGTTTTTTTTTTCTTTTAATTTCAAGTGGTTACATTTTACAGATAATTTTTGATAAACTAAAATTATAACTTGTCCCTTGGGCCAACTCTTATCAGTATTTTAATTTTAATATGAAAAATATAGATTGATGTATGTCAACTATCTAGAGGTAAGAGTACTCAGATATTTGGTATTTGTCCCACCCTGTGTGAAATTTTATTTTTGAAAGTAATGCATTATATATTGCATATATATTGAAATCTTTGGAGGCTGTCAGGTTGCACTTAATAATTATGTACTCTGGTACCTTCTATATGTAGTTTAGAGTGGATATCAGCCTTTTAAAATGTGATTAATAAGTATTTAGAAATTGTGAAACAACTTTAAGGTCTAGAGGTTTGCTACTAGACACTGAAACTGCATGACGAGTATCTGGTGTCTTAACTAATTAGATAGATCTGTTGTATTGGTTTTCTTGTGGGATAGAATAACAGTTAATCATTTTTAGAAGAGTTTTAGATTACTTGCCATAAAATTTGTATGTATCTTAGCTCTTGATACTTTAGGAGCAAAAGTGATGTTTAACTAGTCCCTTCCCTTTAATGTTGCTGTACCTACTTCAGACAGTTGAAAACTTAATCATTATTTCAAGTTCATTTAAGCCTAGAATAGTTAGCTTTTGTTTGCACAGTAACCTGTACTCAAACTCTTAATTAAATGTAGGAGGTTTTACTTTAAAACACAAAATGGTTACATAAATTACATCTTGTTTTAAGTCACCAAAATAAATTCAGTATTTTTTTTTAAAAACCATTCATGATCTCTGAAGACTATAAGATGTAATGTAAAAAGAATAACAGTTTTAATTTCCTAAAAATTAAAAATGTACTTGAAAGTCTCAGATAATTCACTGGAAATAATAAAGAATATATTTTAATATGTAATATGATCAAGAGTTGGTATAGTAAAGTTATGGGAATGTTACAGTGGAAGAGAATAACTTGGTCAGAAAAAACAGTAGCTTACAGAGATGAGGCTGTGTGGTGCTCTGTGTCTAGAACAGACACAGGTATCAAAGCTGCTCTACAGATTATTCTAGAGACAAATGGAAATTGAGATTATTGTGAGGGCATATCCAGCCTGTCAAGCAGATATCAATGTTTCACCAATATGACAACCAAATGTACAAAGAAAACCAGACTGCACTGGGAAGTGTTATCTGTTTTAAAAGGGGAAAAAAGTGCTGAAATACTCCAAAAGGAGTTTCAGGTGTATTTGTAATTTTCTTACTCTCAGGAAGAAGAAAAGGGGTCATGAAAACTGCTATTCCAAAACTTAAATTTTCCAATATGGGAAGAATCAGTTCACCACTGTGAAACTAGGAAAAAAACTGGCCCTATCATCTGAATTAACTAGATCAAGGAATAATGGCAGACTTCTCAATTACTGTTAAGGAAATCAAGGTGCAGTGGACTCACAAGAAAGATGCCGTAGACCCCTGGTGTAAAACAGAAAAGTTAAAAGCATAGAAGATTTTATTTTATTTTACTTATTTATTTATTTATAGAGAGAGAGAGAGAGAGAATTTTAATATTTATTTTTTAGTTATCGGCGGACACAACATCTTTGTTTCGTATGTGGTGCTGAGGATCGAACCCGGGCCGCACGCATGCCAGGCGAGCGCACTACCGCTTGAGCCACATCCCCAGCACGAGGATTTTATTTTTATTGAAAACAATTACAGTTAAATAGTCCTTGTTGCATATGATTACAGTGAGGAGGGCAGTGTCCAAAACCAGTATTTTTATGTAGAAATATGCATGAAACTCATGGGGGAAGCTTTTCATACAACACATGCCCAGGTCTCAATCCCATTGGTATCATGAATTTCCCAGGTATTTCCGGTACCCAACTGCAGCAAGCCACTAATTTGAAAGGATCTATGTCCCTGCTAACTTTCAAATTTATGGTTCCAAAAATAATGAAGCTTTGTATTTCTTTCCCTCAGATCCTTTATCTCTACACCCCCGACACACATACAATTTTCATTGAAAATCTGATGAAGTCATTAAATTGTTACCAAGCCTTGACTGGCAAAAGTCCTGATTTTTAAAAGGAAGAAAGTAAATTCTGCAAATGGTGAAGTACTAGAGTCACTTTGTTTTTTCTGTTTTGTTTTGTTGTTTTTGTTTCTTTTTTTGACAGCTCTGGGGATTGAATCCAAAGCCCAACATGCTTGGCAAGAGCTCAACAAATGAGCTACATCCCTAACCCAAGTGCCCATCACTCTTGATAATATTCTTGGGTTAATCACCAAATGGATGGTTTTTGAGAGAATTTTTTAATATTTATTTTTCAGTTTTCGGTGGACACAACATCTTTATTTTATTTTTATGTGGTGCTGAGGATCGAACCCAGTGCCCCGCGCATGCCAGGCGAGCGCGCTATGGCTTGAGCCACATCCCCAGCCCGGTTTGTGAAATCTTAAAGCATAGGTCACTAGGAGCCATGGGACTATGAAAAGCAAAATTTTGATTTTTGTTTAATCTTTAGTAGAATTTTGAGGTGTCAATGCACTTCTCAAAAGTGTATTTAATAACTAGCTTTCATAGATAATAGATTCAAGTAAGCTGGAAACAGTTTAAACCAAGTTAAGTGGGTTTTCTTACATGGCTTCTTAGAGCTTTTAATATGCTAATGTGCAGATATATTAAATAAGAGGAAAATACAAAACAGTCATACTATACTGTAGAATACTGTAGAATTGGCCATATTTACCTTTCTCTTGAACTCAACTTCCTTATAAATACTACCAATCAGGAGACAAAGTTAACTTTGAGCTGTCCAAACTGAACTGCAAGAGAAGATGCCTTTTAAACTCATTTTAGTTTTTTGTTTTGGTTCCTTTGTTAGCCTTTTATTAATAATTGGGTATATGGTTTGGAAATCTAAAAATAAGTGACTAGTGTCTTGGTGAAATGAAGCTTTATGGTAAGTGTTTTTCCTTAACCATGATGAAAATATTTACAAATTAATTCTTTTATACTTGTAGGTGAAAAATGAATTAGTGATAACTAATCTTTTACAAGATCATCAAATCTCTTTCATCCTCTATTCCTTTAGAATTAAACTGCAATCGATGATCTTTACAAACATTTTTTCCTGAAGAAATCTGCAAAAAAAGCTACAAAATATCAATACACTTCTGATATTTTAAACTTCTCCAGTAACTGAAAAATTATTCAAACTTAATTAGCATTATACATGCTAACAGCAGAGAATTTGATGAAAAGCAAATTAGATGAAATTTCCTTAAATATTGAATAAATGTTAAGAGTACCAACTATGTACTAAGTGCTAGAGGTAAAAAGACACCATTTTCTCCCCTCTTGGAGCTTCCTTATAGTGTGTTGGGAAATACATCTGTTAATTAGCCCTACAAATTAATAATTTCAAATAAGTGCCATCAGGAAGCATAGAATATATTAAGTTAATACAGTCTATCCTGGGAAGGTTAGAGACTTCCTAAAGATGTGACATTTGAACCGATGATAGACAAAATTGAACAGTGCAGAAAGGGAAGAGAAGAATAGCACTTGTGTGCTGTACAAAGGCCCTTAGGTAGGAAGATGTGTGATTTGTCCTCAATGATAAATTCTCATTTATTAAGCACATACAAAGTATTAGACGTTGGTCTAAGCATTTTAGATGAATGAATTCATTTATTCATCACAATGACCTTATGAAATATGTACTGTTAATACTCCCAATGTATGGGAAATTTTCCCCTAAAAAACAGGGCTTTGAATTCACATCTTACCCTAAAAGGCTAGATTACCTATGCTAGGGAGAAAATGATGAAAATAAATAAGATGACCATGTTTTTTTAGAAATGCAGTGTGGCATATTTATTTTTGAAAACTGGGTGGCGATTCATGTTATTTTTTAACTTTTGGCATTTTCATAATTTTTTAGAAGGCCTGTGAGTGAGGTAGAAAGGGGGGCTGGGAACTAATCACATGGCTTTAACATCTTGCTCAGGGTTTTGGTAATTATCCTAAAAAATCATTGAAGCATTTCAAACAGGAGTAACATGACCAAATGTAAATATTGAAAAGATCAGAGTGGTAGTCACGAAAGCATTAGATGGGACAAGAATGAGTTTAAGTCACTACTGTAGTAATTAAACTAATTATGAATTACTATATGTAGGGTGAAGGATACAATTATGCCTGTGATTATAGGGTATTTCATTTAAACTTTTTCTTTTAGAAATATGCAACAAGAACAGAAAAGGGTGTTCTTTTGTCCCATTCAGAATTTTTGGTTTGTTTCCTTTATGAACAGTTATTGAAGAGACAACATGTACAGCTGAGAAATGAAGAGAAAATGACAAATCGAAGACATTAAAGTTTTCTTATTTTAAAACATGAACATCAAAAACACAGAATTGATACTGACATTGTATTGTTTTCACAAAAAAAGTACTACATGACAAATTTATGCTTAAATTTGACCTAGTTGGGCCAGGTGCAGTGGCACACTCCTGTAATCTCGGCAGCTCTTGAGGCTGAGGAAGGAAGATTGCAAGATCAAAGCCAGCCTCAGCCATTTAGTGGGGCCCTAAGTAACCTGTCTCTAAAAAAGAATGAAAAAAGGCTGGGGATGTGGCTCAGTGGTTAAACAGCCAAATTCCCAGTACAAAAAAATAATTAATTTAAAAATAAAGAAAAAAAATTTTGCCCTAGTTCGGCAACATTTCCAAACATGCTTCTTACAGAAACTGCCCAAAGTAATTGTACCATAGCTAGTTATATTTTGTATTAGTTGATCTCTTCCATCCCATTCTCCTCCTGTCAGAGCTGATTGGATTTAGTGGGCACTTGATTTCAATGAAAATTGGTTTGTAGTCATATGACCTAGGAAGTAAAAAACCACCAGGCTTGGTGCACACTGGAATGGGGAAGAGGCTTTAGAGAGGAGGATCTTAAGTTCAAGGCCAGCCTCATTATTTATCGGGACTGTCTCTAAATAAAAAATATAAAAGACTGGGGATGTAGCTCAGTGGTAAAACACCCCTGGCTTCAACCCCCAGTACCTAAAACAAAAACAACACAAAATATTCCAAGCAGATCTGGTCATTGGGAATTAGATTGAAAGTAGGAAAGAATTTGCAATTTGGCAGAGAATGCAGTGTGTTAAAATAAGTAGTAAAAGTACTTCTTTTCTAAGATGGACTTTTTTTTTTTTCACATTTTTACCTCTGAAATAAGGCTACATCCTACCAAATAAAGAAACTTAACTTCACATCAGAATCATACAGGAAGCTTAATGAAACACATGCCTGGTTCCCAGAGTTTCTGATTGAGGTCTGCAATGGGACCTTAAATGTACATCTCTAACAGATTCCTAGGTGAGACACACTTTGAGAAACACATTATATGGATTCTTTGCTGTGGTTTCTGTCATTTTTGTGAAAACTTCTTGATACAGTTAGCACCAAGAAAGCACCAAGCATTAGAGCATCTGTATTCAATGAAATGCTGTATGAAATTATTTTATCCTATATAAGAATATCCTTTCTGTAATTACAAGTAAATCTGAATAACAGGCATGTGATCACACGATAGCTTTGCTTTTTTAAAAAATTGTTATAGTCTGGATTTTTCTTTCCTTTATAACGTATTTTAGCAACTTTCTATGTATTCATACTATTTTTTCCCAGATTCATACATAGTTTTTCTATACATCTCTATATATGTATAAAGATACATTTGTTAATTGTTTTTCTTATAAAAACTAGGAAAATTATACAATCGTTTTCAGAATCTTTCTTTTGTCTCTCAGCAATATTGTGTAAATTACTTTACCATTTCCTCACTCTATCAGTTCCACTAGACTTGGTTATGCTATAGTAACAATTCTAAAATCTCAGGACTTAAAG